TAACTATCTGCATAGTCCAATCTGTCTGATAATCAAGTCTAGTCCTCTGAACATCTGGATGAGGTGCCACGTTGCTTCACAGCAGTTACCCTGGGACTTCCATTTACTTCACTCCCATTTCCAAACACTATATCTTTTTTATTTTATTTACGTGCTTGTTTTGACTGAGTATATCCAATAGCTGAGAACCAGTGAACTGAAAGAAAATATTTTGAGAACTGTCTACATATGCCTTTATTCTATTTTCATTGTGACAGAATTGGCTAATTCATACTTTTAAAGACAGTACCCCATTGATCCCGTTTCCAATGTTTCTGTTGAGTGTTATTATTCTCAACCCTTGGCCACCTGGTAAATTTTAGAATATACTTTTTATGTCATGTCTGGTGTATGGAAAATTCCATAATGGTATGCCTTTTTAAGAGTCGTTTTTTGTGTTAGGATCTTTATTATTGTGCTAATAATAGCTTTAATACTTTTTTTTTTTTTCAATCTTGAGAATAATTTCAATTCTACCCATTTCCTTAATTTTGTTCTCTTCCTGGAACTAATATTGGTAGTATATTAAACCTTCTGAATTGATCCATATTTATTTTTTCCCTCTACTTTTGACTTCTAGAACATTTATTTTTATCCTGTTAATCCTGAGGATATTTTTCCACTGATATTTAGAGGAGAAAGTGTGAGAGTGAAAGAGAAACATTGATGTGAGTGAGAAACATCAATGTGAGACATACCGATTGTTGCCTCCCCCACATGCCTTGACCGGCGATGAACCTGTAACCCTTTGACACTTGGGCTGACGCACTAACCAAGGTTGGCCAGGAGTAGAACATTTGTCTTTTAATATTATCAGTGAATTTATTCCTATTTTAATTTCTTGTTCTGACATTGTACTATTATTTCTGTTCTAATTTCTTGAATACATCTTTCTCTCAGGATATTACAGTTCTTGGAAGTTTCCTGATTGATAGTTGCTTTTTGTTTAGATCTACCTTTCACAGTTTCCTTCAATTTCTGGTTATCTTTGGCTGTCCAATTTTAAAAGTGAAGAGCTAAAAATCTGTTTGGAAGATTTGCGTACATGGGAAGGGCTTAATGACTGGCATGCTCCCCCCATGCTTCACTATAGGGGGATTGGTGGCCATTTGGCTTTTTTTCCTATCAAGAGTTAGCATGGTCAGTGTGGCGCAGTGGTTGAGTGTTGCCTATGAACCAGGTCACGGTTCAATTCCTGATCAGAGGATATATCTGGGTTACGGACTCAATCCCATTTGGGGGTGCAGGAGACCGCCAATCAATGTTTCTCTCTTTCCCTTCCTCTCCGAAATCAGTAAAAATATATTTTAAAAGTTTTAAAAGTTGCCGAGACCAGTTTGGCTCAATGGATAGAGCGTCGGCTTGGGGACTGAAGGGTCCCAGGTTCGATTCCGGTCCAGGGCATGTACCTTGGTTGCGGGCATATCCCCAGTAGGGGGAGTGCAAGAGGCAGCTGATTGATGACTCTCTCTCATCGATGTTTCTAACTCTCTGTCTCTCTCTCTTCCTCTCTGTACAAAAATCAATAAAATATATTTAAAAAAAAAAAAAAATAAATAAATAAATAAATAAAAGTTTTAAAAGTTTAGTTTTCCCACAGAAGGCTCCTCCAAATCCCCCTTTGTGTGTGCAAGTGTGGCGTTCATGTGTCAGAGCTGAACAAGGAGGAGGTAGGGAATCTCATTTATCCATTATATAAATTTGTACTTACATCCCTATTTTCTGTAAAGTATTTCATCCTAGCCTAGTAACACTGAATCAGATGTCTACTTTTTTCTTTTTGTAGTTGAATTATTATCAGAATAACTTCAGCCTCCAATTTGAGAGGCTGTAATGTAAAATCCTATTCAATTGAGACACATTCACATAAATTTTATTAAGGCTCTTAAATTAAAATTTCTTGTTTTAGAGGTATATTCTTCAAGTTCTAAACACAACAGTAAAATGCAGTGACTGGAAAAAAAGGTATTATAATAACCTCCTCCAAAAAAATTATTTTTAGAAATCACTCTTTCAATGAAAGGGTGTGCTTTTTATTTCCTATAAACGCATTTTATTTTTCAAATTGACTATCACCTGAAGAGCACCAATAGCACTTGGTAAACCTAACTCTCTTTGTATATGCAATCTAGTCCTAACAATCTAGTCCTTCTCAAATGTAGTAAAACTCTAACACAAAAGGAAGAGGAATACAAAAGGAGAGGAGAAAACACAGGGATAAAACAGAATAAAACTATAATGTGAATTTCATTTTCTACAAAGAGATAATAACAAGGAAAATGAGATCTTGGTTTATAATGACTTGAATCTAAATAATTCCAATTCTTTGTTGTATTAAACAGAAACACAATGCAAACCATGGTTTCTGGAATAAGATTTTTAAAAATCTAACAAATATCTGAAATAATATAACAATATGGTTAGACCAAAAAGAAAAAAGTCTATCACAAGTTATAGAAAACATAAAGAAACTTTAATATCCAAACAGGGCAAAAAATACTGGATTAAATGTGAGTCACATCAGGTTCTTTATAGTACCAGATGTATTTAAAAATAAAATTTGAATGCATATTGTAAAGAATAAAACCATTTTTAAAATTTATAATTTATTTTCCTGATACTAATGCCAGTAAGTTTAGACTAAAGAAAAAACGTTAAGTGATTTGTTTTAACAGAGTAAGATTTAAATCAAAATTATCAACATTCCTAAATATGAATTTGTTCAGTAGTAACCTTTTCATCATACCATTTTTTTTTCTTCCAGAAAGTAGTCAATGTACGTTTTGAGATTTGTGCAATAAAAAAATATACTGGCTAATAAAAAGTGTTACTACTTGACATCGTCAAAATAAAAGAAAAACTATACTTTTGCTTATTTATGCCCAAATAATTTACCCTGCACTCCACATATGTGTAGTAAATATTTCTGAAACAGTGAAAAATGAAGGTCCTAAAATAGAAACATAAGCCAGAATAATTTAAAAATAGCTTCCTGATATTTTATTTTTTGAGTTATTTCACTTACACTACTTTTGGTTGCATGCCCTGATCTGTAGAAGTTAACAAGGAAATAAAATTTCCAAGTATTTAAAAAATTTACTCATGTTTCACAAAGCAACTTTTAATGTAGCAACACTTAAAAATACACAGTGTCTTAATGAAACATTAGTACAACTGCATAGAATTGAGCTCCAGAGAATTATATACTAATGAGTTGTCTTTCCTGGGCTCTGGTTTACAGGAGTATTATTGGCTTAGAGACCAGCTTAGAGTCATTTGTTCCCCTTTAGGAGATACAGGCCTTTTCTGTTCCTAAATAACATACTAGGAGCTATCTGAAGCTCTTAAAAACAACTGACCATTCAAATATGTATACTGGGGACCCTTCCCCTTTGTGAGTCAAGGAAGGGAGTTTGTGACTTTCAATGAAAACAAAACAAAACAAAAACTATTCTAAGAGACTCTGAAATGTACTAGAAATTTCAAAACTAGAACAATGCTATCAAAGATTAAATCTCTTAATGCTCGGAGCCACCCCAAAATATAATAAAATTGGGAACTCCAGGAAAACAGGTACCAAAAGAATCAAAATAATGATTGCACTGAGGATTCTCCTCTTTGAAGGCTGTTTAAGGAGGTAGGATTTTAAAGTTTTTGTTTATCTTTTGGCCTCTGAATATTTAAAAAATGCTTTGCCCGGCTGGTCTTTCAGGCTAATTTTGGAGTTTATAATGAACCCCAAGCCTGATGTAAGGATATTCTAGTTTCACAGCTATTATCTGTACATATTAAAATTAAGTTGATTTACTCTTTTTGAGTAAATACAAACTAGGAAATGGCAAATTAATATATTCCGTTACATACAACTTTGTCTAAAAGTTCTCAAAAAACAAGAGCAGATGACTTTGTATTCAAAGACTACCAAAGTGTATATTTGATAATCACATGCAAACAACTTAAAATCTTACAAATCTCCTGTCAACTCTGCATGATATCTTTAAGAAGGAAATGACATACAAAGTTTGCTAACTGTGCAAAATATTAAACTGCTAAAACATTTTCATAATGAAATAATACATGTAAATGTAGAAGTTGACACATGAAATTAGCACAGTTCATAAGAACTTATCACATTTCAGAGATTTGCTTTAGTAACAAGTTTTTTGTTTTTATATTTTCTGGTACACAGCAAAATTTATCGCAGAAGATAAAAATTCTTTTAAACAAAGTTAACAGGGAGTTCTTGAGGCACCTTCTCATATAAAACACAGGATGAATGCAATTAACAATCCATCTGAGAAAAATTTTCAATCTAAGTGAACATTTGTTTTTCCATTTAAGTATATTATACAGAACTTTAATAAGGCAAGACAAATTTGTGAAAAAATGTAGATACAAAAATGATGTAAACTAATAATTTATATTAAAAAACCCCAAAAGGAAAACAGTGGAGATGGGATAGTTCAAACAAACCTTTGTAAAAAGGCTTAAAACAGAATTGTGCACAAGCTGAAGATTATAAAGAACCTCGAGACTCTGCACAGTTTTGGTTTTTCATGTTTTGTTTTTTTATATCTTTATATTACGTTTTAAATCATATCAGGAATGCAAACTAGAACTGCACACTACTTTAGTGGAAAAAAGTTCAACATTGTGCAATTTTCTGCCTCTTCATTTTTAAAAAGTGGCAGCAATCCCTGCATTTGTGTTTGAAACAAGGATCTGAGAAACTTTATTAAAAAAGGTAATGAAGGCAAAAATTGGCAGACATCCAGCATCTTGTTTCTTTTTAAAACAATATGGATGGTTAAGTAATTTCATGATTAAAAAATGAACATTTAAATAAATACATTGTATCTGACATTTGCACTGACTGATTTGATTAAATCTTTAAGTAAACAACGGCTTTACTACACTCTCTGTAGCCTCAAGCCACTGGCTTTAGATTCTGGAGTCCTTTTTCACTGGGTTTCATACCCTGCCACGCGATACCCTGCAGGCGGATTAGGCAACATGCTGCCGTTCTGTCCTGGAGGTGGCTGCAGTCCATAATTTGGTTGCATCCATGGCGGAGTAGTCTGTGTCTGACTGGGAGAGCATGTGAAAGAAGAGGGGAGAGAAATCCACTGACTAAAATGAAAGATAACACCAAGATCAAATAACATATAAAGAGGAAATATACTTTTTCTTTAGTTCAAAAAAAGAATTATGCCAAGGAAAGCAACAGTACAAGCATCCTCATAGGTTTAATTTGTACAGCTTAATCTTGTTAGTTTAATTACAGTTAAGAAAATACCCTTAACCTGTAAACATTTATCCCCTTTGACCTCAGAAAAAAACTCATCTTTCATTTCAGGAAGAAATGCTATACAACTGGGTTGGACATGTGGTGAACAAGCCACTTTCTGAAATAAACCTGACCATTTGATATGATAAGACTAGAACTTATATTACTCAGTGAAAAAAGTATATATATAAGCACATAAATTTTTTCAATATTATAAATACAAGCTTTTTAAAATAAAAACTGTAAAGTATTTTAATCTTTACTTCTCAGATTGTTTTTCAGAAATTTAAGTAAAATTGCATCATTTAGGGTGTATAAAGAAGCTTCCACGCCGAGACCAGTTTGGCTCAATGGATAGAGCGTTGGCTTGGGGATTGAAGGGTCCCGGGTTCGATTCCGGTCAAGGGCATGTACCTTGGTTGTGGGCATATCTCCAGTAGGGGGTGTGCAAGAGGCAGCTGATCAATGATTCTCTCTCATCAATGTTTCTATCTCTCTCCATTCCTCTCTATACAAAATCAATAAAATATATTTAAAAAAAAAAAGCTTCCATGTAATAATAAACCTTTTTACACAGAAAAAATGAAGAACAAATAAAGCAACTAACAACAAAATTGTATTCAAGAATGGCCAAGGGAACCATCATAACTTATAACGATGGTTATACCTCAAAGCAACATATTTCTAGACAAAAGTTTAAAGAGATACATTTAAAACTATAAACTAAAATCTATCCTAAACTAAGTCTTTCAAAGGTTAAAGCTATGCTTTGGAAAGAAGGCCATGCTTCCTACTAATTACTTAAAATCTCTCCCTAAGTTCTTGACATTTTCAAAGACTAATAATACATAAAAAGAGCTAATATTCTTACTTAAATCCTGGCTGGTTCCATGGCTGGCCATACATTCCATATGCAGGTACTTGCCAACCATTAGGCATATACTGGCCAATTTGTTGAGCATTTCCATACCACTGGCCCCATTGGCCATAAGCTGGTGGATATCCAATTTGATTCTGCTATTAAGTAAAATTATAACAGATAATTTAGTATTATTTGAAGTTATATGTTCTAATATACCACAAATAACTAATATACATAGCCATACCAAATAGGGCCATTATTACAATTAAAATGAAAGGATAAACAAGAGTTTAGAAAGTGACTGCTAAAAAAAAAAAAAAAAAAAAAAAAAAAGAGGTTATATTACTATAACTTGACATAATACTCTGAATAGCAAATTCTTTGTAAGGCAGTGGATAATGTTCTAGTAATAAATATTAAATTCAGTATAATGTTTAGTGCTTTATAAACTATTCACATGACTTGTTTCCTTTAGATAAGAAAGATACAAAGATTATTTCTACATTCAGTTTTGTTACTCCTATCTTAATGCTCCATTTACATTCCCTCATAGAAATCTTTGTGGGGTCAAGTTAACCACTAAAGCTGCCTGGAAAAACAAAAGCAGCAAAATGCCAAGGCCCTAAACATAAATATAACTACATTTTTATTTCAATCAAGTCAACAATGCTTGTGAGTTCTCCATATAATATGTGAATAAATCTACCAAGTATTAAGAAAAAATTTAATACCCTGTTAGGTTTGTCGGAGCATTTTAAAATCCACTGTGTATGAGTCAATTGAGGCGGTCACATTCATCATGTCACCACTGCAATCCATGAGCCACCACTCTGGAACTATAATACACGTAGGATGAGCCCTTATATATACTATCATTTTAGTATGAACTAGAAACTTATTAACATGGATTATAAACAATTTCATTCTAAAACAATATTATTAGTATTAGCCCAGTAATTATTTCGCAAAGTCAAGAACCCTCTCACCTGTTGCACAGGATTTATCATATCAAGAGTTTCTTTGCCCCAATAGCATTTCACAACATGACCTTCAATAGTAGTTCCATTAACAGAAACAATTGCATGTGCTGCACTTTCATGGGAGTTGAATCTATTGAAAACAATATTAAGAATCACCAATATAAATTGTTTAAAAACTTAAAAATAAAACTTACTTTTTAAAAATCAAGTTGAGCCCAGCTGGTGTGGCTCAGTGACTGAGTAGTGACCCATTAACCAAGAGGTCACCGGTTCAATTCCTGGTCAGGCACTTGCCAGGTTGCAGGCTTGATACCCAGAAGAGGATATACAGGAGGCAGATGATCAATGTTTCTCTCTCACTGATGTTTCTATCTCTCTATCCCTGTCCCTTACTCTTTAAAATAGAAACATATTAAAAAAAAAAAAAAATCAAATTGAGCCAGGCAGTTCACATAAAAGAATCAATAAGATGGCATATTCTCCCCCCTCAGGTCCTGAAATTCTGGAGAAATTTCTTTTAACAGATGTTTTATTGGCTTTGTGTTGAAAGATGGAAACTATTAAAAAACAGTGGCAGATATGCTAAATACTAGAGAATTTTTATTTCTTTATAATGGAAGTAAAATTTTAAGAAAAACACTAAGTTAAATATATAAAAATAATTTTGGGGGAATTCTTTAATAAAGCCACACCTACCGAACAAATGAATATCCTTTATCTGGAAAGACTCGAATTTCCATTATTTGTCCAAATGGCGAAAAAGTCTGACGCATTAATTGTTCTGTTAAGATAAAAAAACAAACACAAAAACACACCCATTATATTAAAATCCACAAATGTTAAAATTTTCGGTTTCAAAATTAACCTCAAAATGCCATACAGGTAAAGCTCCCATACCTGTTAGCCCAGAAGTGACACCTCCACAGTATACAGTACAGTTGCTTGGACTAGACTGATTTACGACCTCATCATATGACAGCTGTTTAGTGTTTGCTGGGGATGGAAAGTTTTATATTATTAATTCATTAAATAAAATGTTCAGAAAGAGAAATTCAGTATTACTAGTAACTACACTACTGTAATGGTAATATCTACCCTGAATAAAATGCTTACATACTACACATTATATTTGATTGGTGATTATACCTCCCCCAAGAATGTCTTAAAAATTACTCAATATTCTATATTTAATAGGAGACTTCACATTCGAGGTAATATTTACTATTTGTAATTACAAAAATGAAAACTAAGTACATTTTAGAACAGTAGTCTTGATTTGCTTCTCATCTATTTCTGCAATAAGTCTCCAGGAACAGCTCTAATATTTAAAATCTAGTGTATTTTCCTCCAAAATTCCACATTTCCTTTTCTTCTCCAATACACCTACACTCATATGTACTCTTTGGAGCTGGAGGCTTTCGGGTTGCCCAGTTAGTTCTGATTTGTCTTCCTCCGAGCCACTGGCCACCCATCTGTTGAATGGCGTTTTCTGCATCCTGTTCCACACAACATTAGAAATGACAAAGACATTATTAGTTGATGTTAAACATCAGCAGTAGAGAAAACTCATGTATGCTTTTCACAATTTTTTTTGAGTGAAAATGCTTTACGAGATACACAATATGTGATAGCTCACCTACAATGCAATGAATGGCGCTTTTAAATTATCTTTCTTTTATATGGGTATCAGACTTTGGTTATGTTAATCACCCAAAAAAGTCCAAAGCCCAAAAGCCTTTCTGAGGTAGCTATTATAAAGTTCATGTAACAACTTAAGACTATTATGGATGAAAATCTCACTTTATACAATCCAACAAGTAAATAAATATTGAACAGATATCATATTCTGGACAGCAGGTTAAATGTTAGGGATATATTAGTGAATGAGGCAGATGTGGGCTCTACTACCATGGAGGTGACAAAGTAATTACAAATTGTATATGCTATGACAGAAACAAAACGCAGATATAGAGATTATGGACTTGGGGATTTACTTTAAGTAGCATGATTAGAGAAGGTCTCTTTGAAATGATATTTGAGCTGAAACTGAGAGGGAAAGGAGCAAGCCACGTCAAAACGTCAAAAACTTTCTTCCAGCCGAAACAGGTTTGTATCAATAAAATATGTAAAAAATAAATTAATTAATTAATTAAAAAAAAAGAAAGAAACCAGTTTGGCTCAGTGGTAGAGCATCAGTCTGCGGACTGAAAGGTCCCAGGTTCGATTCCGGTCAAGGGCATGTACATTGGTTGCGGGCACATCCCCGGTAGGGGGTGAGCAAGAGGCAGTTGGTCGATGTTTCTCTCTCATCGACGTTTCTAGCTTTCTATCTCTCTCCCTTCCTCTCTGTAAAAAATCAATAAAATATATTAAAAACAAAAACAAAAACTTTCTTCCAGCCAAAGCCGGTTTGGCTCAGTGGATAGAGCATCAGCCTGCTGACTGAGGGGTCCCGGGTTCGATTCCAGACGGGGGCATGTGCCTTGGTTGCGGGCACATCCCCAGTGGCGGGTGTGCAGGAGGCAGTTGATCGATGATTCTCTCTCATCGATGTTTCTAACTCTCTGTCCCTCTCTCTTCTTCTCTGTAAAAAATCAATAAAATATATTAAAAAAACAAAACAAAACAAAACAAAACAAAAAACACAACTTTCTTCCAGGAAGGAAGTCCTGGAAAAGGGAAAAGCATTGTAAATTGTGTAAAGGCAGCAAAGAGACTGGCATGCATCTCTTTCAGAAGAATATGAAAGATGCCTAATTTCACTGGAATCTAGTGAACAAAAAGAGTGCCAGAAGAAAAAACTGAAAGATTTTAAGTAAGAGTTGAGCATGATCGGATTTATGTTTTTAATATATGTTATTGATTTTACAGAGAGGAGAGGGGCAGAGTTAGAAATATTGATGAGAGAGAACATCAATCAGCTGCTTCCTGTACACCCCCTACTGCAACCAAGGTACATGCCATTGACCAGAATCAAACCTGAGACATGCCCAGGTGGTGTGGCCCGCACTATTATATTCTCTCCTGTCCTCTCTTTCTAAAAATCAACGAAAACTTATTAACAATTGCCGAAATCAATTGGTTCAGTGGATAGAGCATCAGCCTGCGGACTGAAGGGGATGTGCAGGAGGCAGCTGATCGATGTATCTCTCTCATGGATGTTTCTAACTCTCTTTCTTCCTTCCTCTCTTTAAAAAACAATAATATATATATATATATATATATATATATATATATATATATATACACATACACACACACACACACACACACACACACAAAACTTATTAACAAAAAAAAAAATATATAATTTATTAACAACAAAAAAGTCCCCTCCTGGAGCATTTTATTAGCTACTCTTAAATTATTACAGGAATACAAAACAGGGAGATAATGAAAATATCCATTAGTGAAGGAGGTTAATTATCAGTGAAATGAACAAATGGCAAATGAAAGAAAAGACTATGAAAACAAAATGAGTATTTTAATTCTTTACTCTTGAAGCACTGCACATGCATTTGTTCTTTTTTTTTTGCACATGCACTTTTTATTGAGCTTACCCATTTGTTGAAAAAGGAGACAAAGCCATAGCCCTTAGACTTTCCTGTTGCCATGTCTTTTACCACTCGGGCATCTCTGAAATTAGAACAATCAGAAGTTTAGGTTTGCAAACTCTCCTGTGTATTATCAAGTGAGAATTTCACACACAACTTATTTTCATGTTTCATCTTCATTAAAATGAACCTTTAATGCAAATTCACCTTTTATTCTATAAAATTTATGTATTAGCAAATGAGGCTTAATTTTATAAACATGCAAATCAATAACTTCTTAAAATATGTATATATAGGTTGTACAAAAACTGCTTCCCATTTCAAAAAGTTTTAAACTTTTAAATATTAAGCATGGTGAAGACAGCTATTCAGATGATTATTTAACCACTTACAGGGTTCACAGGCACATTAGATGAATGGCTTTCTTTAACCATGCAATTTATAACTTGCTATTTGATACCATATACTACCTAATCATTAAAATAGAAAACTGGAAACTAAGAGAATAAAAAACTTGTATATTCCCTAAATTAAATACATTATTTTCTCAGATCAATTCATACCCCCGCCCCCTTTTGGACTATTGGAAAACTTTGAAAACTTGACATTTTCAGAAATGCTAAATAATTGAAGAAAAAAACTAGACACACATTTTAGTTTTAAATTATATATGAAAGGATTTTATACTGAATTTTAAAATAGCAATCTAAGATTGATTGGAAACTACAAGATATAAGAGCAAAATCTTAAAAAGTCAGAAAGTAAAAAAGCACGCCAACATTTATCCACTGTGAACCGTAGCTTGTAGTTAGCCAGGGCAATTCTGTCCATTCTTCAGAGATACTCTGCAAAATAACCAGAGCCCTATTATTTGAGATTGAGTAAAAAACCCAGCCATGATAGCTAAAACTCCATACCTCAAAAAATTGGACTCAAATTGTGCTTCACAGGCAAATCTGCTTTTAAGTTAGCCAGGTATGTTACAATGCTTGTTCTCTCAGGACACATGAACAAAACAGGCACTTTCACAACAAAAACCCAAGTCAGAAAGCCATGCAATATAATTTATATTAAAGTATACATAAGCATATTTTGATCACCTTAGAAGTGATTCATGAAATGTTTAAGGTCAAAATGACAAAGAGGTAGTGGTAAAAAGGAAAACTAATGCAAGTCACTTCTTACTATGCAAAAATACTTATTATCTGTAAGGCACACATGCATTAATTTGGTAGCTGATTCACTTCTATTTCAAAATTTGTTAATTATATAAAACTCAAGGAATAGAAAGTTTACTATATTAATTAGAAAAAGAAAGTACTATATTTTTTATACTAATATTTTAATAGGTCACCATTTACTGCATGTCTTCTATAACTCACTGTTGTAGGATCTCTACTGAGACTATCATAAGAACTTTTCAATATACTAGTGTAGTTATCAACTTTAACAACAACAAAAATCAGAAAATGATGCTACCCTACTGAAAATGGTTCTTTTAAATTTTAAATATTATTTAAAGTTTAAATATTATTTATATATTGCCTCAACTGAAAATTATAAAATTTAAGTGAAGGCCTTCCCCAAGAAAAATATATCAATAATCATGGTTGGCCTTAATAAAAGCTAGACTGTAATTATGATACCAACATATTTAACAAAAAGAAATTATTGATCCGTGATTAAAAAGTCATGAAATTACTAAAATTTGAATGTCGTTTAACTTGAACTCATTGTTAAGTAATCTTTATCTAATCCCAAACTAAATTCCCATTTTCAGAATTTACTTCAATCAAAATTAAAGCATTCAATAAAATAGCTATATAACCTGTTAAAACATTAGAAAATTTTCTTTCTAGAATTAAGTTTTAGAAAATGTTAGCCTTGAAAGACATTTAATTCTTACTTATTTCTGAAAGGATTTCTAAGGAAGCAGCAGCAAATAGCTAGACCATGGTTCTTTAATCTTTCTTTAATCCTTTTATGGTCCTATGACTACTCTGAAAATAGAATAAAACTTACAAAAGATACTCCACACCAAAGGAAAACAAACACAACACTTTGCATACAGAGATTTATAGAGCCTTTGAGAGGCTAAGGGTTAATACCTTCCAGTCTAGATACTTGAAAGCAAGTTAACCATCATCAAAACCCTATGACAGATTAAAGGGAACAATAAATTAGAACTTATTTTTCCAATCAGTTCTCATAAAGGTAAATGTCACCTAACAAAAGAGTCTGTTAATAAGCCATAATTTTGCAATTGCCTCTAAAGATGGTCTCTTACTATGCATGTTCATCATCCTACCAATGAATTACAACTCTTCAAACGAAAATTCCCAAAATTCATCACCTGTTCTATTGGCACTTATCTTTTTCCTCACCTCATATTTGCTGTTGGTCTGTGCATGAAACTAAACCAAAGCTAGTGTTTCCTTTATGCTTTAGTTAAGATAATTTACTACTCTTCTAGCTGGAATAATAATAAAGTAACCAGAAACCCTAAAAAAATTCTGTTTTCTAAATTCAGTGATTACATGCAAAAAAGTACTATTATCAAATTATTAGTCTTACTCTATTATGGCATGTTATTTAAAGTATTAGAATTTTTTATGATGAATACTACATTGAGTGAGCTATTTCAAAGGGCTTAAACTGTATATTTAATAACAAATGCAAGCAGGAAAGAACTTTACAAAAAACTAAAAGGCATTATTACTGTTGTTGTTAGTAACAACAACAAAAGGGTTGGTTGACTTGAAATTAACACTTAGTAACTATTTTGGGGGTTCAAATTATGTTTCTTTTTGTTAAAATAAATTAACATAAAATGCATGGTATCGCCAAAACTGGTTTGGCTCATTGGATAGAGCATCATTAGCCTGCGGACTGAAAAGTCCCAGGTTCAATTCCGGTCAAGGGCATGTACCTTGGTTACGGGCACATCCCCAGTAGCGGGTGTGCAAGAGGCAGCTGATCGATGATTCTCTCTCATTGATGTTTCTAGCTCTCTCTCTCCCTTCCTCTCTGAAAAAAAAAAAAAAAAAAGCAAAAGCATGGTATCATAGAAGTGCCCAAAAGGTCTAAATTCCTTAGTCACAGCACAATTTACTAAAGACTATGACTTATACATGAAGCAATATGTAGAATAGTAAAATTGTCTCTTAAAAGCTAATGCTAATTGAAAAATAGATTTTAAGATAATTGAAGACCAAAGATTTATTTAATGGGAAAACAATCTTTGGCTCTTAACTGCTTAAATAGCTTCTAAACAATGTAATATCTTATATTCAAGTGTTAAAATTAATAAACAAAATTCACAGTATATTTTCAAAGTACTTCTAAATAAGATTGTTTCTAATTAAAAGTATCTTCTATTACTTACGATATTCTTCCAAATGGCGCAAATGCAGCTTTTATATCTTCAGTTGTTATTTCTGGACTGAGATCACCAACAAAGACATGGAAATGATCTTATAAGGGGAAGGTAAGGGGAAGTGAAAAGAAAAATAAAATTTTAGAATTTAAAAATACTGAAATTTATTCAATAAATTATTTTTTAAATAATTTATGGATTATAGTAACATACAAATAAAACACTACTCTATCTATACAAAGACTATCAATTTTAAACATAATGAATCAAGGTGACAATCCTTCCTAAAGACTGATGTATCTGACAGTTATATTTCTGCTTACAGCCAATTATTATTCTGGCCTAAGAAAATAAACTAATAATATGTAAGTTTTTCATAAGAAATTAATGACTTCATTACTGTTTTAATAGTAATTATTTACATTTAATTAGTTTACCACTATATTAAAGCTTTACAATTTAAAATAAAATAGTGGTATTGTGAATTATGTAGACAAGATTTGCCTCAGTTAAGACAATTCACTGAAGCTAGACATGATATACTTGGTTTAACCATATTTTGTGAAGAACAAGCAAAGAAATACCTTGCATTGCAACAGTTTGATGTTAAAGTATTTGACAGTTTTCTCAAAAGCCAACAGTTTTGGTTGCCCAGACATTACACCATTCAGTTTATGTGAATCCATGTGCATGTGAACTAAGACTGAAGGCAACAAAATGAAAACAGTAATCCCTTCACTTTATATTAGAGCCATTAAAAAAGCATTGGAGAGAAATAACGATCCCATGTGAAGTTTAAAAAAAAAAGACAATGCTCAAGAAAAGAAACACTTAAAAATACAAAATAGTTGTTTCAACATTTTAAAATAAACATATATATTAATTTTGACAAAATATATTTGGAAAGAAAAGTTACCCCTATTTGGCAGGCCTTAAGCAACATATTGCGTTGCCATTTGGGAAACAGTTTCAGGAGCAACTCAAGCAATCAGAAGATCTGGATATGGAGCACAGATCGTGACCTCAAGGAAGCAGGGTATCTTGCCCTTTAGTTGGTGAAAGTATTTCTAAGGCATCAGCTGCCTCCAAGAGGGTCAGAGAGCTTGAAATAGCACCAAAGTAGTGGACAAGCCACACTTGGTCAACACTGGGAAGAAGGGGGAAAAATATTGCCAGAGACAAATAGAAATACAACCACCTCCCTCCCCACTCCCCCCAATATCAAACAAACAAAAAAAAACTTCAGGTGGTTAGTGAATACCCTTTTCAAGAGATTTCATTTTATGTTTAAGAAGATACAATTACCTTGTGAACGCTGTGTGCTGACAACGGTACTACCTGATGACAAAGATTAGATTTGTTCTTAAATTTATTAACACAAACACATTCAATCATATCTTAGGATAAAGATCAAAACATTACTGCAAACATGTATGATGTTTTTATGCTTTACAATAAAACTACTGTGTACAATAAAAACAAATGTTCAAAAAGTATAATATATACTTACTGCTTGTATCTTTCTTTTGACTGCTGGGGGTTGTTGCCCAATTCACTTTGACTTCCTAAAAAAATTTTATATTCCTTAAAAATAAAGCTCAAAATCAGATATTACAAGATTTGCATCTGTATACACATAGGAAGTATATCTTTAAGATGAAATAGGTATCAGTTCCAGTCAATGTTTCTTGTCATTTAACCTACATTTATGCAAATAATGTTGTCAAATCCGAATCTTACATGTTAATATTGAATCAACCTTTTTTATCTAAAGTACCAATGAACTTTTGCCTTTTAGTCTTCCCCATTAGTATCCAATGTTCCTAGATGTTTCATCCAAGCTTGAGTAATTCAATAAATATTTTAGTACTTATCACATGCAATAAACATGTCCTCTAAAAGCTTTAGCCCACCTTTTAATAATGTGACTTTTTGTGATAGTCGGCTCACAACCAGTTTCAGATTTGATCCCCACCTCAGTTACGGTGCAGGCGTAAGCAACCAATAGATGTGTCTCACATCTATGTGTGTGTGGTGTGTGTCCCTCCTTCCTTCCCTCTCTCCCTCTCTCTCTAAAAAAATCAATGGATAAAAATACCCTCAAGTTGAGGAATAACAACAAATTTCTAGTTCAAGTCACCTTTAATTATGACAGCTTACCTTACCCATTATCTTCCGCCCATTCATAGCAGCCAGTGCTGCAGCTGCATGACGATGCTCATAAAACTCCACAAAACAATATGGATCATTTCCAGCTGTCTGTTGAAGAAAAAAAACACAATAGTCAATTTTAAGTTGTATACTCCCATTACCTTAAAATTGTAACACCTCATTTACCAAACCAATGGAAAATAGAGGTTTCATTCCACAAGTAAATCATATATATATATATATATATATATATATATATATATATATATATATATTGATTTCAAAGAGGAAGGGAGAGAGAGAAACATCAATGAGAGAGAATCATTGATCTGCTGCCTCCTACACGCCCCCTACTAGGGAATCAAGCCTGCAACCTGGGCATGTGCCCTTGGCTGGGACCCTTCAGTCTACAAGCCAACACTCTGTCCACTGAGCCAACCCATCGAGGGCTCCACAAGTAAATCTTTAGATAAGGAAATAAACACTTAAAAATGAGCTATTTATGCCAGGACAGTGTCACTCAGTGGTTGAACACTGACCTATGAACCAAGAGTCAGGATTCGATTTCTGGTGTTTTGATTACCGATAGGGGCCCGTGTTGCGGGCTCGATTCCCAGTGTGGGGCATGCAGAAGGCAGCCAGTTAATGATTCTCTCTCATCAATAATGTTTCTCTCTGTCTCTCATCATTGATGTTTCTCTGTCTCTCTCTCCTTCCTCCCTGAAGTCAATAAAAATATATTATTTTTTTAAAATGATCTATTTTTATAGAAAGCTATCTTTTTTAAAAAAATACATTTTATTGATTTTTCGCAGAGGAATGGAGAGGGATAGAGTTAGAAACATTGATGAGAGAGAAATATCCATCAGCTGCCTCCTGCACACCTCCTACTGGGGATGTACCCGTAACCCAGGTACATGCCCTTGACCAAAATCGAACCCAGGACCTTTCAGACCGCAGGCTGACGCTCTATCCACTGAGCCAAACCAGCCAGGGCTAGAAAGCTATATTTATCAACAAGTTATACTAGTCTACTATACATAATTTGCTTATTAGTAATTAAATTTCCTAATTATGGACAGATGGATATATAGCTACATTCTCCCCATCATCATACAATTTTTTTTTTAAAGCTACAGCAGTTAAGTTTGACTAGTATCCTATATTCTCAAGTGTTGGTATTGGTTTTTCTGTCTCTTCCCCATGATATTACCTTTTATGTACATAAATGTACATATAGACTTGCTACCTCTTAGTGAGTAGCAGAAAACATCAACCAACTATCTTAAGCTTGTTTATAAAATATAAATAAATAGGCTCTGAAAAGTAAGAGGTCCTTTGATAAGTAAAGTTTTAAAATAGGTTTTAGAATTTGGACTTTCTGACATCATTTTTCAGCTGCTTAATATTCTTTTTAAAATTCTCTCCTCTTTTCTGCTGGTGTTCCGAGTAGTTGACATTTGATAATATGTGAAGCCTGAATGTTTTATTGTAAATTAAGGCAGAAAAAATACCTAATATCTTTTTTAAAAATATATATATTTTATTGATTTTTTTACAGAGAGGAAGGGAGAGCAATTGAGTTAGAAACACTGATGACAAACATTGATCAGCTGCCTTTTGCACACTCCCAACTGGGTATGTGCCCACAACCAAGGTACAGGCCCTTGACCGGAATCGAACCTGGGACCCTTGTGTCCGCAGGCCAACGCTCTATCCACTGAGCCAAACCAGTTAGGGCAATACTTAATATCTTATACCTATCAGTGCACAATATCAAATGACTTCATAGAGTATTTACAAATTCTTCTATACTCTCCTAAAATTAGAAAGTAAGGACTAGAATGAGCCCGGCCAGTGTGGCTCAGTGGACTGAGCATGTCCCATGCACCAAGAGGTGTCTGGTTTGATTCTGTCAGGGAACATGCCTGGGTTTCTGGCTGGATCCTATGCAGGGTGTGTGCAGGAGGCAGCCAATGATGATGTTTCCCCCTCCCCCTTCTTCTCTCTAAAATCAATAAAAGAATATTTTTAAAAAAGACTAGAATGATGCCAAAATAAAAGTACCATTTTGTTTCAAGCACAATAATTTAAAAAATTCATTGGTGCCGAAACCGGTTTGGCTCAATGGATAGAGCGTCGGCTTGGGGACTGAAGGGACTAGGGTTCGATTCTGGTCAAGGGCATGTACCTTGGTTGCGGGCACATCCCCCGTAGGGGGTATGCAAGAGGCAGCTGATGGATGACTCTCTCTCATCAATGTTTCTAACTCTCTCTCTCTCCCTTCCTCTCTGTACAAAATCAATAAAATATATTTTAAAAAAAATAAAAAAAGTAAAAAGTTCATTGGTAATGAGCTTTAAAAAATTGAGAGGCTCTGTCTCGTATTTCCCAGTGGTCAGAGTGTTGGCCCATGCACAGAAGGGCTATAGGCTTGATTCCCAGCCCCAGTCAGAGCTCGTGTGGGAGGCAACCAATCACTGTCCCTCTTCCCCTCTCTTCCTTTCCCTGCAGTCTCTCTAAAAATCAATGGGAAAAATATCCCCAGGTGCAGATTGAAAAAAAAGAAGAATTTTAGCGTAAAGAGATAATCACAAATTGATATTGACATTACCCATTGTTTTATTTTAAATTAGGGAATATAAAAATGTTTTAAAAATTGTATAATTCAAACTAATACCACCCTTAATGAGAATTCTACTACAAAGATCAATGTTGATAGTCATAGAAAAAGTAAGATATTTAAGAGTAGAGCAATAAACTGTAAAAGAATGTCACTTTAGTTGATTTGTACCCTCAAAAAACTATTTTTTAGATAAAAAGAATGTAAGCATACATATCATCAGTCTCAATACTCCAGTAAGTGTAAAATTCATAAATATGAACACCAGTCCTACAATATGAATAGACTGAAATTTAGACTTTAATAATAAAAACAAAATGTTAATCCAAATTTATACAAAGTGGCAAAGGCAAAGCTAGTCATTTCTGAAGGTCAAGCAGCCATTAACATTTTGCCTAGTGATCTTTACCAGACAAACATCAAGAATGACCCAGACAAGGAGAGAATGACAGCCTATAAACCAATGCAGAGGATTTATATTCAGATAGTTCAATCTGGATTTTACATGCTTGTTTTTCCTTAATTCTGGTGGTGTTGTTTTTTTTTGGGGGGGGAGGGGGGACGTTGTTGTAAATCCTCACCGAGGATATTTTTTCCACTGATTTTTTTTTTTGGAGAGAGAGTGTAAGAGTGGTGGGAAGAGAAAAGAGAAAGAAACATTGATGTGAGAGAGACACATCGATTGGTTGCCTCCCACACGTTTCTGAATGGGGTGGAGGATCAAACCTGCAATCCAGGTACATGCTCTTGAATGGAAATCAAACCCAAGACCCTTCTGTGAACTCTAACCATTGAGCCCAGGTAGGGCAGCTTTGTCTTAATTCTGCAAATATTAAATGGGAATAATGTGCTTTACAAAGTTTCTGTTTAACATTTGTAATAATGCATCAGGGTTAAAATAACAGGTAAGCATTTAAAAAATGCTATTACTGGGATAAGGAAGTAAAGCCAAATCAAGGAAAAATTGGTTTTAAGTTAATTGGCTAAACAATTACTTTAAAAAAAAACTATTTTTATTCATTTTCAGAGAAAGTGGGAAACACTGATCAGCTGTCTCCCGCACGCCCCCTACTGGGGATTGAGCCTACAATCCAGGTATGTGCCCAGACTTGGAATCAAACAGGCAAACTTTATGCACTGACTGGATGATGCCTAACCAACCTGTTTAACCATCAGGCTAAAAATTACTTTCTAAATACGAAGTAAAAAGAGAGATAAACTGGAAAACAATAGGAAAAAAAGTAGCAGATACACGTACTGGTATATGGGTTTTTTTCCCTGGGAAAAAGAAAACCAAAAAGAGACTGTGGATAAATGGATTCTCATTAGCACTGCCTTCCACATTAAAAATTTTTAAATGTCTTTTTAAGCATGTTATGATTCAGGGTTAACACCAATTAGATGAATTATTTTTTTCTATAAATTAAAGTCTGAGGGATGGTAATTACCATAATGCAAGAGAAACTTGAATCATGGCCTTTAAAAATAAAGTTACAAACATTTCACAGTAACACATGTCTATTTTTTTTTAACCTAATGTCCTAATCTAATTGTAATAACTAAATTTCTTGATTAGGCTATCAAGTGATAAAGACATATAAACAATTCTGATAAATCAGTGCACCTTAAAAATGTGTATACTTCTCATCTACTCTAGAAATTATTAGTTCTGCTCTTCCTTTAATAAATTAAACTCAGGTCCCAAAACTGATTCACTACAAATTCACTAAAATTCCTATGCATTCAGGCTTTATAAACTAATTTGTGAGTTCCTGGAAGTAATGGATTTAAGTAAAAAACATAAAAAAAGAAGAAAATTAATTAAAGTAAAATACCCTTACATCCATAATCATTTTGCAGTTTTTACAAGGTCCAATCTGGCTAAAGAGCTGAAGAATTAGAGCTTCTGTCACATCTCTGGAAAGGTTACCGACATATCTGAAACACAAAGAAAAATATTTGCCATTTAAATTTGCTTCTTTGATCAGTTTCTACAGTTGCTTATTGAAAAATGAGTTTAGGAGTAGGTAGATCTTTACTCTAAACTACATTATTTGGGAATAGCTTATAAAAGTTTGCCGAAACTTTAAAATCTCTTTCAAAACGGATATATTATGTGCAACCTGCAAGTATATTAGACACTGCTAGTGGAGGAAAAGCTAGTGTGTGTTTTTAGTAAAGATGTTGCAAATTAAACCTGTTGTTCATTTCCAAGTTCCTAGACTTACCTTAGAAAGATATTACTTTAAAAATCTCTTAAATTAATCATCACATATACAGAACATTTTATACAATCAATTGTGGAAACCTTTGCAATTGTTTCTACTACAGTATTACTAAGAACAATAAAATTTCCTCAATTTTTAATTCACGATTCTCCTAACACTATCCAATTTAAATTTACTTTGGTTTACACAATAAACAAATTTTTTGAAAAATCACAGTTAAATATTTTATCAGGTATTGCAAATGCTCACAAAGGAATAAAAAAAACTTTTCGGTGGATATCACTGGTCAGTGGTATGTAGAATAGGAAGATGCCAGGAAAGGTCTTTTAGAAAATACAAACTGGCGACTAGCAAACTTAAGTAGTATAATGTATTAGAAGATCACATGACTGAGATAATTTTTATTTAATTAAAGAGTTTATAAATTTTCAAAATGGGACTTTGAAACCAGATTACCTCTAAAACGTTTAGAGTTAGAGGTTTATCACTTCTGAAATAAGAGAATGTAGACTCTCAACAACTGTAGTTTCTTATTCTTCTGCCAAGAATCCTTCAGAAACGGAAAAATGTGTTGAAAGATCCAGACTTGCCCTGACTGGTTTGGCTCGGTGGTTAGAGGGTTTCAGGCTTGATCCAGGAAGCAATCAATAGATGTGTCTCTCTCATGTCAATGTTTCTCTTTCTCTCTTCCCCCTTCCCTCCCTTCCACTCTCTAAATCAATGGAGCCCAGCCAAAACCGGTTTGGCTCAGTGGATAGAGCATCAGCCTGCGGACTGAAAGGTCCCAGGTTCGATTCCGGTCAAGAGCATGTGCCTTCGTTGTGGGCATATCCCCAGTAGGGGGTGTGCAAGAGGCAGCTGATCGATATATCTCTCTCATCGATGTTTCTAACTCTCTATCTCTCTCCTTTCCTCTCTGTAAAAAAAAAAAATCAATAAAATAAATCAATGGAGCCCGGCCAGTGTTGCTCAGTAATTGAGTATTGACCTATGAACCAGGAAATCAGGGTTTGATATATGTCCTTGACGGGAATCAAACCTAGGACCCTTCAGTCCACAGGCCAACATTCTATCTATGAGTCAAATAAGTTAGGGCAATAAAGTTTTGTTTTTAAAGTGAGAGGGAGAAGTATCAATGTGAGAGAGGCTGCCTCTTGCACATGCCCTACTGGGGATCAAGCCCGTAGCTTGTGCATAGGCCCTCACTGGGAATAGAACTATGATCTCCTGGTTCATAGGTCAATGTTCAACCACTGAGCAATACTGGCTGGGATTAAGGCTCTCACTTTTAAAATAGGGTTTTTCCTTACTATGTGATTACTTTGGCACTCTGAAAAACTTACGGTATTAGGACTTACTCAGTTAATTTAATATGGTCTGCCTAAATTTATTAATTAGCATTTTTTCTGCAAAGAAGAGTTTTTCCTCATCAACTAAAGCTATTAGATTACACTCCACTGGAGTTTCTAATCAAAAGGCAAGGTAAATGCTTATAGGCGATAATGCTTCTCTCCCTCCAATTGTACTGAGTTTCAGAACAAGGACTTGGTATAATACTAACTTCTGATCCTGAAAAAACTGTTATTGGGTAGATGTTGGCTTTGCTTTTTTGAGTGTCATTATTCTACTTGATAGATTCAGTACTTCTCCCTTTACCATTTTACTCTCTTCCAGTGCCTTCACCACTCAATATGTTTATTGAATGGGTAAATGGAAGGAGGGAAATGAATCCGTGTTTTCTGACATGTATAAATGTGGGTTTTTTTGTTATTAATCCTCTACCAAAGGTGTATTTTCCATTCCTCTCTTTCTCTCAAATCAATAAAAACAAAAAAACAAACAAGTGAGAGCTTTGGCTGTTTTAACATTTTGACCCAGTGATCAAACTTTTAATCACTTTATAGATGGGCAATGAGACATTGTGTGTTCAATATGAATTATACAACATCACCTGTGAAGTAGTCAACTCAAAAAGGTCTAACTTGAATCTAGTCAAGCTTAAATTTAGACTAAAGCTTACCAAATATTGAACATATAAAACAAATACATATATTTAGATATGGGATACTGCATAAGGCAACTTACTTGATCTCTTCAAAATATTATTCTAAAAAAAGTAGTAAAAGGAAGGCCCAGCCAGGATGGCTCAACGGTTGAACATGAACCAGGAGGTCACGGTTAAATTCCAGTCAGAGCACATAGCTGGGTTGTGGGCTCGATCCCTAGTAGGAGGGCATATAGGAGGCAGCTGATAAATGATTTTCATCCTTTATGTTTTTCTCTCTCTCTTCCCCCCTTCCTCTCTAAAATCAATAAAAATATATTTTTAAAAAGTAGGGGGCAGGGCAGAGTGGATTGTTCTTATTTAAAAGGACTTAAAAGATACTGAGAACTAAATATAATAAATAATACTTGACAGAATCCTGGATGGGGGAGGAGAGATAGCCTTTTCTTGCAGAATGCTAATAAATGTAGAAGGAATGAAGAAAATGATCATTAAAATACTATTGTAGTAACTGCAAATGGCAAAATCCACCTATGGACATTTTATAGTTGATATAACTTTAAGAAGAAATAGGGTGTGTAGAGCCTTGAATTATCTCAAAAAATACTTATTACTGATTTCAACCAATGAAATGATTGTTTTAATATATATTCACAAATTCTTTGATATGCCTTCCTCTATGAAGTCCTTATTTTCTCTTTGCTTCAGTCTGGGTTAGTCTTAGTGATCCAAATCTAATTAATAGAGTTATGTTGAGAAAAGTAGTCACTGTAAAGTGAAGAAACAGTACCCTTCAAAAGTGCCATGATTAAAGTTATCTTCTCATATTAAAGGAGAATAAAGAGCCGAAACTGGTTTGGCTCAGTGGTTAGAGAGTCAGCCTGCGGACTGAAGGGTCCCAGCTTCGATTCCAGTCAAGGGCATGTACCTTGGTTGCGAGCGCATCCCCAGTGGGGGGTGTGCAGGAGGCAGCTGATCGATGTTTCTAACTCTCTATTCCTCTCCTTTCCTTTTTGTAAAAAAATCAATATATATTTTTTAAAATAAAAAAATAAAGGAGAATAAAGAGACAAAACTAAATACAGTGATATCTTGGAATGGATCCTGGAATAGAAAAAAGACATTAGTGGAAAAACTGGAGAAACTGGAATAAACCTTGCATTGTACCATGCTAATTTCTTAGTTTTGATAAGTATACCATTAATGGGTGAAGGTTATATGAGAACTGTACTTTCTCTGAAACTCTTCTCTCACTTGACTCTTGTACCCATAAGAAATTCTCAGGATTGCAATGTCTAAATGAAAAAAAAAAAAAAAAAAAAAAAGGCTCTTCCTGGGTGTAGTAGGAGATAGGTGGAGTGGGATAAAGTGTGTGGGGAGAATAGGGAACATCTGTAATGTTGTCAACAATAAAAATATGCGTGTTTTGTTTTTTTTTAATGGCTCTTCTAAAAATTTAATTCTAACATCTATGTATTTTGAAAAAGCTAGATAATCTAGTGACAACTACATAGTATTTAGGGAACCTGGATTTTACCATCTGAGAAATATTTTCTGAATGACATTAACTAATTTGAAGACGTGAAGGAAAAAAAAAAGATTAAGCTACAATAAAAAGCACTGTGGGGCCTTGGCCGGGTATATCAGTTGTTTAGAGGGTCATCCCAATATGCCAAGGTTTCTGGTTTGAACCCCAGTCAAGCACATACAAAAGTTAACCAATAAATAAGTGGAACAACAAACTGATGTTTCTCTCAAAATAAACAAATAAATAAATAAATAAGCAATCAATCAATGTGGTTTATATTGCCTTTCATTTGTTTATTTGATGTAAGCTCCAGGAACCACTATCAATTAATTCTACACACAGCTGTTTAGGGAAATGCTCTTTGAGGAAGTTACAGAAACAATTTGCTCTCAGCCTTAGGCACCATTACAATAAACTACAAGTAACATATATAACATTTTCATATTAAAGAAATCAAAGGACAAAATCTCTTTCTTTCTTGTACTAATAAAAATTTCATTACTTTTTTCTTTTTACAAATAAGTTAATTACTAATACCTATCTCAAAATTTTAAAAACTTAATGTTATAACGTCTCAAGTTTATTTGCTAAGTAGGAGTTTGAGATAGAAAGACCAAATTTGAAATCTGCAGATCCTTTTTATAGACAAAACTAGAGGTCCAGTGCATGAAACTCATGCACTCGGGTTTAGAGGGGTCCCTCAGCCAGGCCTGAGCCCTCTCGCAGTCCAGGAGCCCTCAGGGAATGTCCAACTGACAGCGTAGGCCCACTCCCAATCATTAGTCAGACATCCTTAGTGCTGCTGTGGAGGCAGGAGAGGCTCCTGCCACCGCCACTGATTCACCAACCATGAACCCAACTTCTCCTGTGAAAGTGCGCTGACCACCAGGGGCAGCTTCTGCACTGAGCGCCTGGCCCCTGGTGGTCAGTGCATATCATAACAATACATTTTATATAATGATTTGCATATTAGCCTTTTATTAATAGGATACTTTCAACAGAAAATACACAAGTTTCAGCCCTAATCGGTTTGGCTCAATGGATAGAGCATCAGCCTGCGGACTCAAGGGTCCCAGGTTCGATTCTGGTCAAGAGTATGTACCTTGATTGCAGGCACATACCCCGTATGGACTGTGCAGGAGGCAGCTGCCTCTATTTCTCACCCTTCCTCTGTGTAAAAAACAAAAATCAAAATCAATAAAATACATTTAAAAAAGAAAGAAGCCGAGACCGGTTTGGCACAATGGATAGAGCATCGGCTTGCGGACTGAAGAGTTCGATTCCGGACTGAAGAGTTCGATTCCGGTCAAGGGTATGTACCTTGGTTGCGGGCATATCCCCAGTAGGGGGTGTGCAAGAGGCAGCTGATCGATGACTCTCTCTCATCGATGTTTCTAACTCACTATCTCTCTCCCTTCCTCTCTGTACAAAATCAATAAAATATATTAAAAATACTCAAGTTTTTTAGTTTGTAGAATGCTCCATACTTTACAAAGTTAATTCTTAATTTTATTTATTTTTAAATATTTTTATTGATTTTAGAGGAAAAGGGAGAGAGATAGAAACATCAATGATGAGAGAGAATCATTGCTCTACTGCCTCCTGCATCCCCTTTACTGGGGATCAAGCCCACAACTTGGGCATGTGCCCTGCTGGGAATCAAACCCTGACTTCCTGGTATATTGATTGGTCAATGCTCAAACACTGAGGCACTCTGGCCCAGCAATTCTCAATTTTATATATAAATGTATTTAGTTGTTTCATACTAAACAACTGACCAAAAGATTTCCAATTAACAGTATGAATTTAAATTAATGTTTCAGAAAAATCCTCATCCTAAGGCAGAGCCTGACTTCTCTATAGAAGCTGAAAAACCTAGATATGGTTTTATAATCTTTTTTGTATTTGATCTAGACTAAATCAGAGATACCAATCCTCAACCTAAAAGGCTTAAAGAAGAAGCATGACGAGAATCCATTTTGGTGGCAAACAGCAATGAAGTCCCATGTCAGTGATTTTGATCCTCAGTGGATTCAGTATTGGTATCTTTTCTGGGATGGCCTGTGGCTTGATTAAGAAGGACTATGGCCTGATAGTTTACTTTCCTGAACATTTTCCAAGACAGGATCCATAACCTTCCTACAAATTTTGGTAGCGTCCTTTATCTTTGTTTTGTTAATCCTCACCAAAGAATATTTTTTTCATTGAATTTTAGAGAGTGGAAGGGAGGCAGGGTAGTGGGGAGAGACAGAGAAAGAGAAACATCAATGTGAGAGGGATATATTCACTGTTTACTCCTTGCACACTGAGACTGGGGATTGGACATGCAACCCAAATATGTGCCCTTGACAGGGAACTGGTCTTCAGGCAGACACTCAAACCACTGAGAAACACCGTCCAGGACGTGTCCTTTATCTTTTTAATAAATTCCTTTTATGGTTAAAATTTTTTGCTGCTTGAATTTAAGAAAATCCTGACTGATACAAATACTGATACTCAGAGCAGTTCCAAGTTCCCTATTATTTCTACTGGACTACTAAACAAAATTATAATTTTTTTACATTTATTAGTTTTTATTTTTCAAAGTATTTTTGGGGAATAAATTAAAATATCCCTTTTTAGCTGTTCCATGGATTGATTGTAAGCAGCATGGACTGAAGTATCAGATGTTATATCACCTCTGAGATCATATATTAATCTTGTGCAGAATGGAGAGTAAAGATAAGAGAAGAAGAGAATTAACTTTAAGGCATATAGACTTCAATGAACTAAGAAATGCCTTCCTCCCTGGCTGGGTAACTAAGCTGGTTAGAGCATCATTCCAGATAGGCAAAGATTTGGGGTTAGATCGCTGGTGAGAGCACATACAGAAATCAACAAATGAATGAGTGGAGTGACAAATTGATGTTTCTTTTTCTCTCTCTCTCTAAAATAAATTTTTAAAAATATATTTTATTGATTTTGTACAGAGAGGAAGGGAGAGAGTTAGAATCATCGATGAGAGAGTCATCGATCAGCTGCCTCTTGCACACCCCCTACTGGGGATATGCCCGCAACCAAGGTACATGCCCTTGACCAGAATCGAATCCGGGACCTTTTGGCTCTAAAATAAATTTATTTATTTATTTATTTATTTTTTTTTTTTTAATATATTTTATTGATTTTATACAGAGAGGAAGGGAGAGAGATAGTCAGAAACATCGATGAGAGAGAGTCATCGATCAGCTGCCTCTTGCACACCCCCTACTGGGGATATGCCCGCAACCAGGGTACATGCCCTTGACCGGAATCGAACCCGGGACCTTTCAGTCCCCAAGCCGACGCTCTATCCATTGAGCCAAACCGGTCCCGGCTCTAAAATAAATTTAAAAAATTTATTTTAGAAAGAGGGAGATGTTAAAAAATGTCTTCCTTGGACAACTGGATAAATGAATATGAACTGTATATCAGTTAAAAATATTGTATTACCGTAGCCCGAGGCTCAGTGATTGGAGCATCAGCACCAAAGGGCTTCAAGTTCTATTCCAGTGTCAAGAAAACACACTTAGGTTGCAGGTTCAATCCTCAGCCCCAGGGCTAGGTACTTGCAGGAGGCAAAATTTAGGGGATAGCAGCTACTCATATTTAATTAGATTGGGCTCCCTGGAAGAATAGGAGCTTTGGTTGAAGGTTATAGAAGCAGAGCAGATACCGTGTTTCCCCGAAAATAAGACATCCTCCGAAAATAAGAACTACTTACAGGTTTCCTACTGAGTGAAATATAAGGCATCTCCCTGAAAATAAGGCCCCCCCCCTAGGTTAAACATGAGAGATTTGGTCCACTGATTCTGAAAGAAATGGAGTCACAGGAAATTCAGGAATTGGATTGTTATGATGATGTTCCAGAAGATGATGACATGATTGTCATTGAATAAATGAGTAAATTCTTAATATTGTAGGATTCACAGTTTGTCTGGTTTGTGTTGACAACTACCATACTACCGTACTGTATACAGGTAATAAATTTCCTTTATTTTCATTTAACAATAAATATGTACCGAATTCTTCTTCATGGAAAAATAAGACATACCCTGAAAATAAGACCTAGCGCATCTTTGGGAGCAAAAATTAAGACACTGTCTTATTTTCAGGGAAACAGGGTAGTAGGACATGTTAGAGCTTGGACTCCTCTGCAGAAAAGGTTCTTAGATGGGGTGTTCTAGTGAAGTATACATGTCAAAATAAGTCATACATGTAAGAGCTAAGAGCTGAGGACAGAAGAGTTGCAGGAAAATGAACAAAAAAGTTTATGAACTTGGGTGACTTTGCTTTTCCCCAGCTGCAAAATAGACCCCATTACTGTAGAGTTCTGATGAGGATTAAATAAACAGGTAAAACACTTTACACGGAAACCCAGCAAATCATAAACACTCCAAGTATTTGTTTGAATAAAACTTCCTTCATTATTCCTCCTGCAATGAATGGTTGGTTTCCTGCACTGCTTTTGTAGAATGGCCTGAGAAAGGTGAAGTTGTCTTCATTATTTGATATTCCCAAATCAACATGCTAAAAAGGTTAAGATCCCAGATTTTTCTGGCATTTTCTGAAATTAAAAAATTTGAAATAATTTAAGAATCTTAAGTTTGAAGACATTATAAAAGATGAGCACTGTGTCACTCAATATGCTGTTGGCTATCATGCTTCTGGCAAAGAGGCAAGAGGAAAAAGATTTCCATAAACTCTATGAGCCAATAGTTTCCTAGGGAGTATTCACCTACAGATACAATCTTAAAAACAAAGCTTATGCACTAATTGCTGCATCCTATTAAAAAGATACTTAAGGTAACTAACATTATCAGGTAAATTATGAAAAAAAGTTTAATCTATTAAGAAAACAAGCGTGACTATTATTTCTCATGTAGATTACAACATAGAAACTTTTGGTGATGAAAAAAACATTACATTGTACTTTGTAACAACTTTAATGTCTAGAGTTGCAGAAAGAAACCTAAAATTGTGTTTTTAACGCATCGAGTTCTCACACTGTCAGTATTATAAGAATTCAAACAAAAAAGGTATGTAAAAAGACTCTTCAGACTTCTCCTTCTTTTCCAGAAAAGTAACAATGACAGAATCAACTCTCCCCACATACTTTGAAAAACAAAGGAGGATGCTGGGGGGGAGAGGGGGGAGGGAGACACCCACACAACAAAGAAAAGCTGAAATAATTTAACGCTAACTGTAAAAATTCTGAGGTGACTACATATGTTAAAGGTATTTATCAACCGCCGTTTCATAAAAGCTGCCTGCTCCTTCAGCAACATGTCAATCCTAACAAGTACCAAACGATGATAAAAATACATTTTATGTCTACTGCCTCTCGGCTGATAGATACCTCCAGGTGACATTTCCATTTTTCACCAAAAGCAGTTTCAAAATCCTTAGGGTGTCCGGTGTTAGGCTCTTTGGTTGGGGGGAGAAAGTGTTATGGAAGTGAATCCAAAGAGAGGTCAAAGGAAAAGCCATTTGGCTGTTTTTCCAGTAGGCAATTGCGGAGAATGAAGTTTAACTCACTGAACACGAGTACAAGCAGCCTCAATAAAATTAAAGAGGGAGAGGAGGGAGGAAGGAAGAGTTTGAGGAGAAAAATCAAAGAGGAAAGGCAGTTGGCTGTGAAGACCAAAGGAGGCTGAGGAAGAAGTGGGGGCGGGAAAAGGGAGACGGGAAGCGTGGGACAAAAGGCTGGCTCGCCGCGTTCTGACGAGAGGTTTGAATGAAAAACTCTCCCCTCCGGGCCGGAGCGCGCCGGGGCCGGTGGCGAGGCCGGAGGCCAGGCTGTGGTGCGCAGTGAAGGGCTTCGCTCCGGGGGCTGAGCCCCCCACGCCCTCCGCCTCGTCCGTCCTCTCACAGCCCGGGAAGGGGGAGGGGGGGTCGGTCCCTCAGCGGTCAGGTGTGCGCTGAGGAGAGGGGGTCGTGGTAACCGCGGCGTCCACGGAGGACACATAGGCTCAGGGAGCAGCGAAGGGCCGAGGCCTCCCTCCGGGGCGACCACCATCCCGCCTCCCCTCATGGTTGCCTCAGACTCACAGAGTCTTGGGCATCTCGTCCTCCATGGCTGCTGCTGTCGCGGCGGCGCCTCTGGGTCCAGCTCCCTACCCTTGACTACCTCCCAAAACGTGTGAGTGGCTCTGGCTTGCAGAATAGCGAGATTTCTCGGCGGACCGGAGGTTATCCCGCCTCCTCCTCCCGGCGGCAATGACACTAAACCGCCCGGCCCAGCGCGAACAATGAAGCCCCAATACAAGATGGCGGCGAGCCGGGAGCCTAGGAGCAGCCAGCGGAGTGACCCGGGCCGCGCATGCGCAGAGCAGTCCTGCACTTTCAACCTTCCGGCCGCGAGCGGCTCCCCGATCCATAGGTTCACTTGTTGCGCAAACGCCCCGCCGCCCGACATTAGGAATGTCTCCCACTGCGCAGGCGTAAGGCTTAACTATTTCAGGACAGACTTTTGTCCTTTGAAACTTTTTTTGTCTTCCCGCTCCAAACGCGAATGTTTCAACAGTACATTATGGCATAAGCATTTTCATACACGTTAAAAATTGTGTTTCCGGAAAAAGAAAGGTTTCATCAACTCAAGTTATCTCGTAGCGAGAATGAAAAAGGGCTGTGCGCCGCCCGGGAATCGAACCCGGGTCGCAAGAATGGGAATCTTGCATGATACCACTACACCAGCGGCGCTGATGAACGCTGGACTGGCTGAAATGTCTTAGGACCAAATGAAAGCACACATCTGATCCCAGAGGAGGATGATTTGTTTATTTAAAAACAAAAGTCTGAGAGTTTATAACTTGCCATTTTTCGTTAATATAAGGAATGTATCTTCCCAAATACAATTGAATGGCTATTTCTATTTTTTTCTATATAGAAAATTCTCATTTAAAAAAATATTTTTTGTTGTTAATAGTATTAGAGATTCAATTAAAATATTTTTTTATTTTAAAAGGTAAGAGTTTCCAAATAAAAACGCATAGACAATAGTATGGTGGTTACCAAAAGGAAGGGGGAGGAGGTGAAGAGTAAAGGGTATCAAATATATGGTGAGAGAAGATTTGACTTTGGGTGGTGGACACAATTTTACTAACCAGTGTCACTCCAATAATTATATTAAAATAATAAAAAGCTATAATGTATATCTATTTTTTAAAAAGTAAGAATTTCATTAGAAGAATTTGTCTTGTGTTAACCAGATTTTTGAGAGCCAGGAAAATTTTTATAGATCATTGCCCAATTTTTTTATTTGCATTTTTTAGCATACTCAATGTACATTGGAAAATATTTTTAAAATAATTATTTAATACAGATTGGCCAGCCGAAACCGGTTTGGCTCAGTGGTAGAGCGTCGGTCTGCGGACTAAAAGGTCCCAGGTTCGATTCCGGTCAAGGGCATGTACGTTGGCTGCGGGCACATCCCCGGTAGGGGTCGTGCAAGAGGCAGCTGGTTGATGTTTCTCTCTCATCGACATTTCTGGCTCTCTATCTCTCTGCTTTCCTCTCTAAAAAATCAATAAAATATATTTAAAAAAAAAATAATAATACAGATTGGCCATAAGAACTCTAAAACCAAATGAGTCAGGAGAGAGAGATAGAAACATCAATGATGAGAGAGAATCACTGACCTGCTGCCTTCTGCATACCCCCAAGAGGTTCAAACCCACAACCTGGGCATGTGCCCCTGACCGAAATTGAACCCAGGACCCTTCAATCCACAGGCTGATGCTCTATCCACAAAGCCAAATCAATTAGGGCTGGTGTGTATATTTTTATAACTGATTACTCTGTTTCTGTAGAATTAAAATTCTCTCTTTAGCCATCTTAAAATGTTTTTATGTAGTCAAATATGTTTACATTTTCTTATATCACTTTTGAATTTCCTGTCTTGTCTAAGACAGAATTAATATGTAGTCTATTTAGAATAAGAAAGAAATGAGATATGAAGAAGTAAGATAGTATAAAAATGGATTCCTTCAAGGTAGTTTCTTTTCTTTCCCCTTATTTTTTTAATTAAATTATTATCTGTGTACATATCTTACCATTGTCCTCCCCCCCCCCCTATACATACCCTCCCTTCCCAGAGTTCTGTGTCCATTGGTTGTCCTTCAAGGTAGTTTCAAAGAAGAAAAAAAAGACACGGAGCAGAGACAGAATTATAGATTTGAGTGTTGTCAAAGATGAACAAAGCCAGACGATAAAGTTTAAATTGTAATCATAATATACATTACAATGGGGAAAAGAGTGCAGTGTGAACTGAACTTTGGTTTGCACAGAAGTAAGTGACTAGGACTTTTAAAGGGAGAATGAAGAAATAGGGAGGGGGGTGAGCAGGGGCCAGTAAAGTCAGGGAAGTAAAAGATCACAAAAATCAAGACGGGATGGGGGTTTGGGGTATTGGGGATTGTGACACAGGGCGCTATCTTCATGTGTTGGGTGGGACAAGCAGTCAATAATTTGGGGAACCTTGAGTTTTCTCAGACAGGCACTGTTAGGGGTGCTAAGGCTATTGCAAGGAGGCTGCTTTGAGCTGTTAGAAACTGTCGGTTGTTTTTTCATCTTTATAGGCCAAAGTTGAGGCCTAATCAAGAGGAGGCCTCCGAGAGAAGCTGGGCTAGAGTTTGCTGAAGGGGAGAATCTTAGTGTTTTGCTTCCTAGAGAGACTACTTTTTTAAGCAACACTCTTGAGTAAATGTTTGTTATATTATTATACCTTATTATTACCCATTATATATGAGGTAACATTTCTCCCCATTATTAAAAAGAAACTTTTAAAAAGGAGACATATGTAATATTTTAAACAATAAAAATAAATATTTTTTAAAATCTTTTTGAATTTCATTCAGTAGCAGTATTATTTTAAAAGGCCAAGAGTGCAGAATAAGACAGCCTGTAATCCACCTCCCACTTCTCCCACTTTGCAAGTCTTTTACACTATCTCTTCACTGTGTCCTTTCAGTAAACTCCTTTCCAAGGTTTCAGTAGCAGAAATCAAATTTCCTAAATATGATACTTGTTAAGGTGATTTACATGCCAATTCTAATCAACCAACAGAAATCGAGGGACTAGTAGGCTTAATGCACTGACATGTTGTGGGCATAATGTAATTTGAAAATAGGAAAGTAAAAGACACATAGTTTGGTTCTTTCTTTGTAATTTCTAGATGTAGTGCAAAAGAGGAGGGTGGAGGGACAATGGGTGGATAAGGACACATATGTAATACCTTAATTAATAAAGAAATTTTAAAAAGAGGGCTTAATCTTTGTATTTTCATGTTCTTATTAGTAAGTAGAAGTGTTTCATTTTTTATTTTTTTAAATATATTTTATTGATTTTTTACAGAGAAGAAGGTAGAGGGATAGAAAGTTAGAAACATTGATGAGAGAGAGACATCAATCAGCCACCTTCTGCACACTAGATATGCCCACAACGAAGGCACATGCTCTTGACCAGAATCGAACCTGGGACCCTTCAGTCTGCAGGCTGATGCTCTATCCACTGAGCCAAACCGGTTTTGGCATAAGTGTTTCTTTCTTGTATGACTTGCATTTTATTCATTACACTTCCACTTTCTCTTCCTTACTCTGCTCCACTGGCCTCCTTGCTGTTCCTTAAACACACCAGAAGTTCTTCTTGCCTGGATAGTTCTTTCCCCAGATATTTGCCTGGTCCACTCCCCTCACTTGCGCCAAGCTTTGCTCAAATGGCATCCAACTTAATAAGGCCTACTACCCCGCCATCATATTTACAATTGCAACTCATTCCCATTCCTCATACCCCATTCTATATATTACATAATTTACTTATATACTCTAATTACCATCTGTCTCCCCTCACTAGAATGTCAGCTTCATTAGAATAAATATTTTTTAAAATTGGTTTTATTCACTGATTTTTCTCATTCACCTGGAATATTTCCTGCCACTTAGAAGGAACTCAGTAAATAAATGTGGGTTGTTTTTTTTTTTTGCACTGAATTTTTTACTTCCTTTTCTCTAAGTTCAACTTTTCTTTCCCCAGTAAAATTGATTTTCTTTAGAATCCAGATACAATGAATTATAGCAAGACAGTGCTCAATACTATTTAAACTTCATTTTAGGTTCTTTAAACTACCTCAGTATTTGTAAATATGAATTCACATTCAACTAAAATTTGACATACCAACAAATTTATTCAATATTGATGTAGCTACAACATTTTATATGCAACCTATGAACTTGAACATAACAGAATTTTACCTTTATAAATTAATTATTCTTGGCTTATTTGTCCTAACCTTATTTAGTGTTGTACCAATAGAACCTTTTCTATAGCTTTTGCTATGTAACCAGATTCCACCCCTTAAGACAAAATGGAAAAAAGCAAAGTTCCCACCCAGAAAAAACAACAACTGAATTATCTAGTTCTAAAGTATCAGCAGATATAGCATCAGACATAGGTTATGGGCAACTCTTAAGTCTTTTACTTAAGTAGTACATAGAAAGTTACAGTGTTGACCAAAAACCACCCAGTTTCAACATTGTGGGTTTGATCAACCAACGAATGCATACATAAGTGGGAAACAAATCAATGTTTTTCTCCCTCCCTTTCTCTCTCACTCTCAAATCAATAAATTAAAACACACACACACACACACACACACACGTTTCTCATTGTTTTAATGGATCTCAAAATTCTGTGACAGCCCTGGCCCATGTGCTGGCTCAGTTGGTTGACCATCATCCTGTGCACAGAAAGTTTGCCTGTTGGTTTCCTGGGCAAGGCATGTACTCCAATTGTGGACTCCATCCCTAGTAGGGGCATGCAGCAGGAGGTGGCCAATCAGATGTTTCACTCTCACATTGATGTTTCTCTCTCTCTCTCTCTCTCTCTCTCTCAAAAAAAAAAAAAATCTGCAACAGATTTTTAGTCAAGTTGTTCCCATTAAAAAGTACAAATTAAAAAAAACTAATAATTTAAAAACTGCTCCCCCTCACACACTCCAAATGATACACAAAACATTCTTTCCTTCTGAAGGGTTTAGGATGCATTGTAATCATTAACCAGTTTTTTACTACAGTATTACACTTAAATGGCCAATTGAGATAAACTGTTCCGAGACCGCTCTTCCACCACTAAGACTGGGGTGGCGGACATTAAGGATAATATTCATTTAGCCTTCTGAGCTTTCTGGGGAGACTTGCTGTCTTTGCCACTTCCAGCTGCCTTCTCATCTACAGCTTTGATGACACCTATAGCAAAACGGCCCAGAGGAGGATAGTCAGAGAAGCTCTCTGGGCTTGCTAGGAACCATATGGATGATGGTAGCATCACCAGATTTAAAAAACCATGGGCCATATTCCAGCTTTTTTTTCCAGAATGACAGTCGATCTCCTTTGACTCAGCAAATTTGCAAGCAATGTGACAATCCAGCACAAGTGTATATCCAACACTAATCAGGTCTGGATGGTTCTGGATAATCACATGAACTGAGCAGCCAGAGGCTTCCAATGGTGAGTGTCACATTTGATAGACATGTTCTTGACATTGAAGCCCACATCATCCCCAGGAAGAGCTTCATTAAAAGTTTCATGATGCATTTCAACAGACTTTATTTCAGTGAAACACTGATTGGAGCAAAGATGGCCACTATGCTGGATCTAAGAACAACATTCTCCAATAGACCCACAGGACAGGACCAATACTACCAATTTTATAGACATCCTAAGGTGGTATACACAGGGGCTTGTCAGTTGGATGAGCTGGTGGTAGGATGCAATCCACAGCTTTAAGCATTGTGGTTCCACTGGCTTTGCTATCTTTATGGGTGACTTTTCATCCCTTCAACCAAGGCAAATTAGCACTTGGCTCCAGCATGTTGTCAACATTTCAACTAGAAATTGGCACAAATGCTACTGTGTCAACGTTGTAGCCAATTTTCTTAATGTAGATCCTGACTTCTTTAACAATTTCCTCATATCTTTCAGGCTGTAGGGCAGCTCAGTGGAGTCCATTTTGCTAACAGCAATCATCAGTGGTTTTGTACCCAGTGTGTGAGCCAGAAAGGCGCGCTCCCCGGTCTGCCCATTCTTGGAGATACTTGCTTCAAACTCACCAACACTAATAGCAACAATCAGGACCGCACAGTCAACCTGAGATGTGCTTATAATCATGTTTTTGATAAAGTCTCTGTGTCCTGGTCACACAGTACTTGCTGGTCTCAAATTTCCACAGGGAGATACCAATGGTGATACCAGGCGCATGTTTAGTTTTCAGTTTATCCAAGACCCAGGCATACTTGAAAGAGCCCTTTTCTATCTCAGGAGCCTCCTTCTCAAAAATGTTCGATAGTTCTTTTGTCGTTCCCACCACATTTATAGATCAGAATGGCCAGTAGTGGTAGGCTTACCAGAATCGACCTGTTCCCTCATGACAAAGTTGAAATGAGTCTTTTCCTTTCCCATTTTGGCTTTGATGTAGGAATGGTTTTCATCACATCTGTGTTCTGGTGGCAACTCTATTGTGAAAAAGCTTCAACCTTTCTTTTACTCAACTTATTTTCCCTCCCCCTATACTGTTCCTCATATTCATATACTGATTTTTATTTCCTTTTTGGGTGTCTGGATGGGTGGGGTATTTTAATTACGGAAATGGGATCATATAGAACCCTTCACTCAGCCACCAATTTTCTCACCTAACAGTACCAGGACAATAGTTACAGATCCTCCGTTCTTCTTAATGCTTTGCACATAATGTTCCACCCTATATATGGGTACACTATTCTTCCCTTCCTTCACCTTGGAGCCCATCCCAGGTCGCCCTCATTGTCCCTTTCACATAACATCATTTACCCATTCATCTGTTACCCAACAGTCCCCGGAACAAAGGTGATCAATAAGTATTGGCCGAAACCGGTTTCGCTCTAATGGATGGAGCGTTGGCCTGCGGACTGGAGGGTCCCGGGTTCGATTCCAGTCAAGGGCAAGTACCTTGGTTGCGGGCACATCCCCGGTGGGGGATGTGTAGGAGGTAGCTGGTTGATGTCTCTCTTCCATCCATGTTTCTGGCTCTCTATCCCTCTCCCTTCCCCTCTGTAAAAAAAAAAAAATAAAAAATTAAAATATATATATAAATAAGTATTTGGAACTCCCCTGGTCTGTTTTAGACAGGGATTAGCGGTGTTTGAGAGGGAGAGGTTAAAGGGACAGAGGAGGACCTGAGTGAAGAAATTAGGTGTTTTGTCCAAACAGATGGGAAGGAAGGGGAGCTGGGGGAGCTGGGTGCTCCTTGAAGTAGGGTGGGTAGACTTTTTGGAGTCCCTGGAAGGGATGGGTGGAACTGAGAGGTGTCAGGGAGCTGGCAAGGGGCGAACCTGTGGGTAGGGAGGTGGGGTGGGGCGGGGGGAGGAGAGGGGAGAGGGGGCGGGCCCGGGGGCGGGGCGCGGAGCACGCCGCCGCGCAGCCGCGGGCCGGAGCTCAGAGTGGCGCTCCGGGGCTCCCGAGGGCAGCGATCGGGGAGCCATGAGCCGCGCCGCGGGGGAGCTCGCCCCTTCGCTCCTGGGGCTGGGGCTGCTGCTGTGCAGCTGGGCGTGCCCCGGGGGCGCCGGGCTGCGGGCCCCGCCGGACAGGATCGGTAGGCGGGCGCGGGGCGGCGCGGGAGGCGGTGCGGGAGCGCCCCGCGCCGGGCGGCCGCTGCCCGGGGCGCCAGGCCCCGCACTGACGGGGTCGCGCGGGCCGAGCCCTCCGCGCCGGTGATCTTGCCGGTTCGCGGTCTCCGGGTCGCTTTCGGGGCCCCGGAGCGCGGCGGGCGAGGGGATGTGCCCACTGGAGGAGGAACTGGCCATGGAAGGGGGACCCTACGGGGCGGGCAGGCACCTTCCAGGCGTCCCTGCTGCAGCCCAGGTCTCGGGAGCCTGGTGGTGGGAGGGGGAGACCGTGCGCCCTCTCGCCCCTTCCCCTGCTGCCCCTTGGGGAGGCCGGCCTTCTGGTTGGTCCTGGAGCCACAGGCCGCGGGCGCCCTGCAGGTGACAGGCGCACGCCGCCGACGCAGCACATGGAGCGGGGAAAACGTGCTGACCCGGCTGCAGCCCTTCCGAATGGGGTGCAGCCCCCTCCCCTCGGCTTGAAGCCCTGCTGCCCTCAGGGCCCCCCTGGCTTGCACAATGTCCCTGCCTGTGTTTAGTACACAGCTGAAATGATCCACTCTCCCTTGCTTTCAGTCGTTTTTGTGTGTTTGCTTCTTGTCCGTTTTTGCTTTGCTTTGTTTCTTAGTCCCTTTAAAACGGCTCTTTGGCCGGGGTCGTTTTCCTGCCTACACGAATGAAACAACACATCGAGGCAAAAAAATGGCGGCCACTTTGTTGAAAATGTGTGCTGGACAGACCCATCTCCTCTGCTGCCATGAGTTGGGCAAAAAGAAAAGAAAAGAAAAAAAAAAAGGTTGTGCAGGCCCATGGATATCTCCACAAAGAACTGTTAGGATCTTTGGGGACATCTGGCGAGTTAATGTCAGTTTGCAAGTTCATTTACTGCCCCTTTTGTGGGAGGTTCAGTGTTTGTGTCCAGATTGAGAATACTATCTTCACTGCAACTCTTTCTGGCCTTCCCCTATCTACAGGCTTCCCTAAATTGTTCAGAATAGCCTTAAGTAACCTCTGGTCTTGCTTCATGGTCTTTCAAAAACAACAAAACCCACAAAGCTGGTAAGAGTGAAATAAAGTTCCTTTCCCCCCTCTGTAGCCATAATTGGAGCTGGAATCGGTGGCACTTCGGCAGCCTACTACCTGCGGCAGAAATTTGGGAAAGATGTGAAGATTGACCTGTTTGAAAGAGGCGAGGTGGGGGGCCGCCTGGCCACCATTACCTTACAGGGGCAAGAGTATGAAGCAGGAGGCTCTGTCATCCACCCTTTAAATCTGCACATGAAGCGTTTTGTCAAGGACCTGGGTACGTAGTTGGCTGTCAGAGCCGCGCAGCTTTCTGTGTGACCATCCACGGATATTTCTATCAGATGGGGAACTGAAACTTTTCCACTTTGCTTGTTGTCTTTTACAGACAAGCTGGTGAAACTGGTGCCTCACTTTCCTTCTAGCAGTTGGTACTGCCTTGGTTAGGAGGCACTCTCCTGTAAGGAGACACTAGTTCTCAGTATCTTAAGTTATCTGGAATTACAGCCATGGTGTGTGTGTGGGGGGGGGGTAATGGGATGGTTGCCATTGTCAGTTCTTGAACCTGTGGGTTTCTGTTGAATCAGAGAATGGTTTGAGTTAGCAGAAACCCAGTGAGCTCATTTTACAGCAGGGGGAAATGAGACTCAGAGGCTTGTGTCTGGCTTCAAGTCACTCACACAGCTATGGGTGCAGACATGTGCTTAGAAACCAGAAATTTGACTACTCCCCTACCAGCGTAGAAGCTGGACAGGTTGTGAGGGAAATCTGGCAAGCCTCTGCAGGCTCCTTTCTCAAAGAATATTGGGTAATATTGGCCTCCTCCCAGTTATCTGAAATACCCAGTTATGCAAAGTGGTGTTTGCACAAGACTAGCAATCCTCCTTTCCCTTAGCTACCTTCCCTGTCTCCTGTGGATGCTTCCGGAGCCTCTTTTTCTCCATGAGGGCAGATGTATGCCAGGAGCAACTTATGCTGCAAAGATTCGAGTCTGCCGGTTCTGTTTTTAAGTTGAATTTAGTTGATACTCTGACTTTTTCCTTTGACTTTTTAGTCTCTTCAGACTAAAAATAGCCAGCCTAATTTTGATATATCTGCATGACCCCCTCTTTAAGAGAGTTTGCGTTTGGACAGTGTAGTGAGCGTATCATATCACTTATTCTAAAGATAGTGCTCCTTTGATATATCTCCTGGGAACAAGGGGAAGCCCGGAATTCACTTCAGAGTGTCCCCGATAAGTTCAGATTAACCTTTCCTTTGATCAGCATCGAAACTACTGACTTGGCTACCCTTTCTGTTTTTGCAGGTCTCTCTACTATTCAGAGCTCTGGTGGTCTAATAGGGGTCTCTAACGGAGATACTCTGGTGTTTGAGGAGAGCAGCTGGTTTATAATTAACATAATTAAACTAATCTGGCAATATGGATTTCAGCCCCTTCGAATGCACATGTGGGTAGAGGATATATTAGACAAGTTTATGAGGTAATATTTTCCCCTTCCATTTAACCTTTTGGTTAGATGATCAGTAGGAAGTATGGTTTCTTGGAACAGTTCTCTACCTCACTGGAAGGTTTCTTTGTTAGGCAAAAAGTTTTGTTTTTTATTTTTATTTATTTATTTTTTTTAAAAAATATATATTTTATTGATTTTGTACAGAGAGGAAGTGAGAGAGACAGAGAGTTAGAAACATCCATGAGAGAGAGTCATCGATCAGCTGCCTCTTGCACACCCCCTACTGGGGATATGCCCGCAACCAAGGTACATGCCCTTGATCGGAATCGAACCCGGGTCCCTTCAGTCCCCAAGCCGACGCTCTTTCCATTAAGCCAAACCGGTCTCGGCAAGTTTTGTTTTTTAAAAAAAACATATTTCTTTATTGATTTCAGAGAGGAAAGGAGAAAGAGAGAGAGTTAGAAACATCAGTGATGAGAGAGGATCATTGATTGGCTGCCTCCTGCAAGCCCCCGACTGGAGATCAAACCTGCAACCCAGGCATGAGCCCTTGGCCGGAATCGAACCCAGGACCCTGCAGTCCACAGGCTAATGCTCTATCCACTGAGCCAAGCTGGCCAAGGCAGGCAAAAAGTTTTGTATAAAATGCGCAGACCATTTACCCACTTGGAAATTAAAAGGGTAGCTTATTTTTGCTTCTGAAAATGTATTTTGCAAATGCTTGTTTAGTATTGCTAGATACTCTTAAAAGCTCTACAAATGTTAACTTGAATTCTCACAACAGCTCTCGAAGGAAGGTACTATTTATTAGCTTCTTTTTTAAAAAAAAAATATTTTATTGATTTTGTACAGAGAGGAATGGAGAGAGATAGAGAGTTAGAAACATCGATGAGAGAGAGTTATCGATCAGCTGCCTCCTGCACACCCCCTACTGGGGATCTACCCGCAACCAAGGCACATGCCCTTGACCGGAATCGAACCCGGGACCCTTCAGTCCCCAAGCCGACACTATCCATTGAGCCAAACCGGTCCCGGCTATTAGCTTCTTTTTACAGATATGTAAGGTGGAGCATGGAGGAGTTTGAAGTGTGCAAGTATACCCACCTATTAGTGGTAGAGCAGAGATTCTACCCAGGCAGGCTGACTCTAGTCCTCACTCTCAGTCACTTCACTGTGCTGGTGTTATGGATCAGATGAGTGAGGTCATGTGTATAAGAGCTTGTAGAAAGGATCAGAAAAGTGGACTTTAATTGTGACATGACGGTTTAGTGAGCCAGCAACCTGAGGTAGGATATCAGTTCTGTGCCCTAAGAATTTAAATTGTTAATAAATTCCAGCACTGTTCTGGGAGTGCCACTTTTTCTTTTTTCTTTATTTTATTTTTTTATGTTCTGTATTTTCAAAATCATCTGTGTGTATGAACGCACATTGCTTCGGTAATTGGGAAAAATAACATAAGATAACCAGTGTAATTTTGAAAAATGCAACCTATTTCTTTTAAGGCTGTAGGCATGAGCTAATTTTTATGCTGGTTTACTTTAAATAAATTTTTATTGATTGATTGATTTGAGAGAGAGAGGGAGAAAGAGAGAGCGAGAGCGAGAGAGAGAGATCTGTATGTATAATTTGTTCCTTTTTAAAATTTATTGATTTTAGAGACAAGAGAGGAAGGGTGTTGCTCCACCCATTCATGCATTCACTAGTTGATTTAAAAAAAAATTATTGATTTTAAAGAGAAAGGGAGAGGGAGAGAGAGATAGAAACATCAATGATGAGAGAGAATCATTGATTGGCTGCCTCCTACTGGGGATCGAGCCCGCAACCCAGGCATGTGTCCTTGCCTACACTCTGTCCACTGAGCCAAACCAGCTTGGGCTCATTAGTTGATTAAAAATTAAAAAAAAAAAAAATTAATTTGAAAGAGAAAGAAGATAGGTAGATATAGAGAGAAAGAAACATTGCATTGTTGTTCAGTTCATTTATGTATTATTCATTGGTTGATTCCCTGACTTGGAATTGAACTGGCAACCTTTTTTTTTTTTAATATATTTTTTATTGATTTTTTACAGAGAGGAAGGGAGGGAGATAGAGAGCCAGAAACGTCGATGAGAGAGAAACATCGACCAGCCACTTCCTGCAGCCAACGTACATGCCCTTGACCGGAATCAAACCCGGGACCTTACAGTCCGCAGACCGACGCTCTACCACTGAGCTAAACTGGTTTCGGCCTTTTTTTTTTTTATTATTAAATTATTTGTGTACATATTTTAACATTCCCCCCTGAACTGGCAGCCTTGGTGCACGGGACAGTGCCCAGTGAACTGAGCTACACTGGCTGAGGCCTAATCTTCCTTTTTGATTTACATTCCTCCTTAATATTTATCATCCTCTAAATTATGTAATTTCCCCACATTTATTTATGCTTTTATTATCTGTTTCCCTAACTAGAACATAAGGTCCAATTAGGGCAGGGTTTGTTTTTTTTCTTCTCTGGTGTGTTGACTGACCTCTGCATTCTTGACTCCGAGAACATTGCCTGAATCAAAGTTGATGCTCCATAAATAGTTGAGTGAGTAAATGTTAAGAGTTATACAAATGTAGTTTGAAAAAGAGCTGTATGAGCAATCTGATTAGCAGAAACTGCCAGTTACTCACATGTCTCCTATTTTTTCCAAGTTTCTAGGACCTAGAGGTCAAATGATACATTGGGAAGGAGTTACTTAGGTCCTCAGTTTTGGCACTTATATTATTTTCTCCCCACAAAAATTTATTCAACATTTTGTACAGTACACTGGGAGACAGTAGGTATAATATTAAAATGAGCCCTAACCGGTTTGGCTCAGTGGATAGAGCGTCAGCCCGTGGACTGAAAGGTCCCAGGTTTGATTCCAGTCAAGGGCATGTACATTGGTTGCAGGCACATCCCCGGTGGGAGGTGTGCAGGAGGCAGCTGATCGATGTTTCTAATTCTCTATCCCTCTCCCTTCCTCTCTGTAAAAAATCAATAAAATATATTAATAAAAATAAAAAATAAAATGGATATGATATTGTCCCCTACTCTCTAAAAATTTACAGTTTATTTTGGAGAAGAAAGTTGATGTAAAACTCTTCCCTTGATCATTGATAAATGTATTTCTTTGGCACTTAATTTTTCCTTTTTTTTATTTTTTTATTTTTTTTATTTATATATATATATATATATATAAGTGCCTGTTCCTTATTACCTGTTTCTAACTATAAGCTCCTTGAAGGAAAGGAACCATGTCTTTCTCATTTTTGTAACACTTGGAATCTGAAAAATTATGTATTGAATTACTGCATGAACTAATTTATGTGGACATTTTTTAAAAAAATATATTTTATTGATTTTGTACAGAGAGAAAAGGAGAGAGATACAGAGTTAGAAACATCAATGAGAGTCATTGATCAGCTGCCTCTTGCACACCCCCCTACTGGGGATATGCCCGCAACCAAGGTACAGGCCCTTGACCGGAATTGAACCCAGGTCCCTTCAGTCCCCAAGCCGACACTCTATCCATTGAGTCAAACCGGTTTTGGCTGGACATTCTTTTAAGTCCGTAAAATACAAAGATGTCAGGTGATATTTTCTGAAAATTAAATCATTAGATACTCCCTCCCCTGAGAACTGACCTTTATATTCTTTTTTATTTAAAAAAAAAAAAAAAAAAGCATTTTATTGATTTTTTATGGAGAGGAAGGAATAGGGATAGAGAGTTACAAACAACCAGCTGCCTCCTGCACACCTCCTACTGGGGATGTGCCCACAACTAAGGTACATGTCCTTGGCCAGAATCGAACCTGGGACCTTTCAGTCTGCAGGCCGACGCTCTACCACTGAGCCAAACCGGTTAGAGCCTGGGAACTGACCTTTAGATCACTTCACAACCGACCTTCCCTTTCACTTAGGTCACATTTCACTTGCTCAGACCATTACCTTTCCCAGGATCCAGACCCATCCAGATAGTTCCCTGCCGAAAAAGCCCGCCTAGAGTCCTTTAAAACCTCTGACTTCCCATCCTTGGGGGCTGGTACCATTTTGGGGCTCAGCCCATCTAGTTTTCCAGACGACCTAATAAATTTATAATTCCTTACCACTTTTGGCCTTGTGTGTATCTCCTTTGGCTACCCTTATAGGTGCTAAGTTTTATGGGATTTGTGGAGATGACATCACTGTGGACTGAGAGGTTGGGCAACACTTTGCAGAGGAGGTGTGATTCAAGCTCTGAAGGAAGTTTAGGAATGGGAACTGTATTCCAGTTGGAGGGAAGAGGTAATACAATATTAGGGAGTAATATGTAGAGGGGCCCAGTGCACAAATTTATATACCTTGAAAGGAACTATAGGCTGCAAGGCTGCAGTGGGCACAGGTGTGGGTCTTGGCCCATCCTCTGCACCCCCGCCTGGCCACTCCCACTGTGGCCCCTGGTCTCCTTTCTGCCGGGCTCCCACCGCCTCTCCCATGTGCTGACTGAGCCCGCCCCGCTCGCACCTGCTGATGATGTGGAGTGATAAGTAGGATCCCATCAAAGAGAAACATGAAAGTCAGTGATTCTTATGATGCTATTTCCTTTACTTATGCACCCTTTGCCCCTATCTTGTTTGATGTGTAATGGTCATTTTTTCTCTTTTTTTTTTTTTAAAGGATCTACCGCTACCAGTCTCATGACTATGCCTTCAGTAGTGTAGAAAACTTACTACATTCTCTCGGAGGGGATGACTTCCTTGGAATGCTTAACCGGACATTTCTTGAAACCTTACAGAAAGCAGGTTTCTCTGAGAAATTCCTTGATGAAATGATTGCTCCCATCAATAGGCTCAATTATGGCCAAAGCATGGACATCAATGGCTTTGTAGGTAAGCCAGTGCTTGGAAAGGTTATAGCATTGGTTCACCAGGGCCATACCAGATGTTATGGTTACTTCTGACCTGAGCCATGAGTTGGAGAAGATACCTTTCTCTGTGAAACCTCAGGCGTTGTTGGCAAAATTGTGTAAATGTAGATATGCATTTTTTATGGGGAGAGTGTCCTTAGTTTTCATTAGTTGAATGGTTTTCACCTGGAGGAGACTTTGCCCCTAGGGGCCATTTGGCAATGTGTGGAGACTTTGGGAGCAGAACTCACCTAATTGGGATGGGAGAGTGGGTGGAGGCTCCTTACAGAGTTAGAATTAAATCACGTTTTTTCCTAATGCTGACAGGGGCAGTGTCGCTAGCTGGTGCTGATTCTGGCCTTTGGGCAATAGAAGGTGGCAATAAACTTGTTTGTTCAAGGCTTCTTCAGGCTTCCAAAAGCAACCTTATATCTGGCTCAGTCATGTACATAGAGAAAACAAGAACCAAGCAGACAGGTGAGCTTGCATTTCTATTTTATTGTTCCTGATTTCCCCTGTAGAAAACAATTGCTCAGGGAGACAATTGCTCCCTTCCTCCATTTCTCACTCAGTTCCAAATGATGGAATTTTAAATTGTATGTGTTGTGCCATGTGGAAATACTCCTAAATGTACTCGAGGATAGTGGTATGATTCCTTGGATTTCAAAAATTTCATTCTCAAAAGTAAAATTTTCTTATTTTGTACTTGTATTATTTTTATTCTGAGTAGGAAATTGGCCTCAGTTTGGGACAGTTATCCTAATAGGTAAAAGTCTTTTTTTTTTAGAGAGAGATAAAAACATCAAATTGTTGTTCCACTTATTTATGGGTTCATTGGATCAAGTTTTTTTTTTTTTTTTTTTAATTTTTTATTGATTTCAGAGAGTAATGGAGAGAGAGAGAAATAGAAACATCAATGATAAGAGAGTATAATCAGTCGGCTGCCTGCTGCATGCCTCCCACTGGGCATAAGTCCTTGACTGGAATCGAACCTTTCAGTACGTTTTTAATTCCTTAGGATTATAAACAATTAAGAAGATATAGAATTACTTTTAGGAGGCATAAAACATAGTATGTTAGAAACACTAAAGAAATGTATGCTTCCTTATTTCTTCTAGGAAACCCCACAAAAATGTATCAAGTGGTCTATCAAACTGGATCTGAGACCCGTTCAGACTTTTATGACATCGTCTTGGTGGCCACTCCATTGAATCGAAAAATGTCCAATATAACTTTTCTCAACTTTGATCCTCCAATTGAGGAATTCCATCAACACTACCAACAAATAGTGGCAACTTTTATTAAGGGGAAGTTGAATTCATCTTCTTTTAACTCCAGAGCTTTAGATGAACTTGGTCTCAGTACAATCTTAACCACTGACAATTCACACTTGTTTATCAATAGCATTGGAATTGTGTCCTCTGTAAGAGAAAATAATAATCCTCAACCATCAACAGATGGAGCTTTTGTTTGGAAGACCTTTTCCCCGGAAACTCTTACTAAGGAGCAACTTTTAAAGCTCTTTTTGTCCTATGAATATGCTGTGAAGCAGCAGTGGCATGCATATCCTCACTATAAGCCTCCAGAGAAATGCTCCTCCATCATACTCCATGACCGACTCTATTACCTCAATGCCATGGAGTGTGCAGCAAGTGCCATGGAAATGAGTGCCATTGCAGCCCACAATGCCGCTCTCCTCGCCTATCATCGCTGGAACGGGCACACGGATATGATTGACCAAGAGGATTTGTATGAGAAACTGAAAACTGAACTATGAGTTAACACTTTCATTTCCCCCCCTCCTGGTTCCACATTGAATATCACTGGCAAAAAAACACACACAATCTGAGCAGAGATGATTTTGAATCAGATCTTTTGCCATTATCATTGTTTAACAAGTGTAATCCCAGTGGAGTCATGGGAAAATACAAAGGTCTAAGTGTGAAGGTGTAACTATTGTATTTATGCCATCTCCTAAATGTGTGTGTGTAACTTTCAGAGTACATTTATTAAAGCTGGGGACTGTGAAACAAAGGACTTGGGGTAGAAGAAGCAAAAGGAGAAAGCCTAGGTGGTACTCTGCTTTGGTTCCCTATAAACGTTATAGAAGCGAGCCAAGGCAGAGCTGCTATTAGCTCCCTGAAAAGAGAGAAAAAAGGGGCCTTGGAGACGGGTTCATGGTGTTAGTCCTGGATGAACTGCTGCTGCCCATTGCTTCTCTGGTTGCAAGTCTTGTGGGGACCCTTAGAGTTTAGGAGAGAAAAGTAAAGATGCATGCCTGAGAGGGGAAAAAAGGCAAGGGCGTGCTCCAGAGAGCCTGCTCCAAAATTTTGTAACTCTTAAGGTCCATCAACAGTGTTTTCCAAACGTGTCTGATCATAAGAATCATCTGGAATTTGTCAAACGTGGAATTCCGTAGTTCCTCGGAGTTTGATTCCATAGGTCTAGAGGTGAGGCCTTGGATTTTGAATAAACTTTAGAGCATTTTAAGCTGAACACTTGAGGAAGTACTTAAAGACATACCTTTTAGTTGCGGACTAATTCATTTGTGCTTACAGCTGGTTGTGATCTTTAGTCACATAGTGAAATCTGCTATGGGAGCTGGTGTCTTATGCCTGGCTTTAGTAATTTATACCATTTTCAAAGTAAATGTGCCCGTTACTTAAGCCTTGACTTTTAGAATGATGCTCTTTTGATTGCTTCTGCCTTTTTCTAGTAATGAAATTCAGAAGTCTGAGTAGTATAACTTTAAGATGTCATACAAAAAATCCAGTAAAACAAAAAGCAAATATAGGCTATTGATGTGAAGAAATTGGCATCCTATTATCAAAACCTCACATATGGAGCTTTTATATATTTTTAATTATTTTTTATTGATTCGAGGGAGAGAAAAATAGAAACAATGATGAGAATCACTGATTGGCTGCCTCCAGCATGCCCCCTACTAGGGATTGGACTCAACTGAAACATGTGTGTCCTGATCAGGAATCAAAGCAGTGACCTTTTGGTGCATGGACAACACTCAATGAACTGAGCCATACAGACCAGGGCACACCTATGGAACTTTAAAATATACAGAGAGACTCCCCACTCTCAATTAAGAGATTCTAATTTAATAGATTGAGGCTAAGACCTCACCATTGTAGGTTTTTAAAGTTCCTAATGTGCAAACTGTGTTGAGAATCACTGATTTGGGCAACTAAAATGTCTCCAAAGGGTTTGTGGTGCCTTAAAAGTCACAAGAAATTCAATCCATAAAGCAGATTCATTTTTCGAAGAATGGGTTCTCAATAAGAAAGCATTGACAGTTAACAGCAAAGGCAACCAAGATTAATTATTCTAAAGCAATTGACATGAATGGGACATTCAGAATGACACCATATTTGATATAGTCCAGCATATGTTCTAACTTAAGCTACTGTACCATTTTGAGAAACTGGTTGCTGAAATCTTAAGATAGTAGTCTCAACCTTGATGCACTTTGAAATCACCTGTAGACTTTAAAGCTTCCCAAGGGATTCTAATATGCAGCCAAACTTGAGAACCAGTTCTACAACTACTGAACAGATCATGAATGACTGCCCAGAGGGATAGAACAAGTAAAAGCTTGGGAATTCAGTAATTGCAATAAGTTAACATGTACTGTTAAAATATTAGTTTGTCAAAGGGTCAGCTTTTTTCTATTTTATTTTTAAAATGTTATTTTTTCCATATTGTTTTAATGAAGACAATATGTAGAATGTATATGCTACACTGGTACATACTAACTTATCTGTAGATTTATTTTGCAATGGGATATATTTTTACTTATAAGAAATCTGTTGGGAATTGCTTCCTCAAAGAGCAAAACAGATTATCTGTATATCAAGCATATTAGTTTTCATAGTTACATTAAATAATTTTTTAATTGCCGGGACTGGTTTGGCTCAGTGGATAGAGCATCGGCCTGTGGACTGAAAGGTCCCGGGTTCGATTCCCGTCAAGGGCATGTACCTTGGTTGCGGGCACATCCCCAGTAAGGGGTGTGCAAGAGGCAGCTGATCGATGAGTCTCTCTCATCGATGTTTCTAACTATCCTGTGAAAAATCAATAAAATATATTAAAATTTTCTTTTTTAATTTGTTGAAAAATATCAGCTCACTCATCTTTTTACAGAAGAGACTGGTAAAAATGAATGCAGAGGCAGGATGAGATAGTTCTGCAACTTGAGTATGCATTGGACTCACCAGAATTTTTCAATAAGTTTGTAGTGGCATATAAAAATTTGCATTTCTAAGTTACAAGGTGATGTTGCTGGTTTAGGAACCACACTGATAATCCATTTTATAATTCAGCTCTATGTGGTTGTAAAACATCAAACCTATCAACTTCAGTGAAGATTTAAAACGTATGCGAGCCGAAACCGGTTTGGCTCAGTGGTAGAGCGTCGGCCTGCAGAATGAAAGGTCCCGGGTTCGATTCCGGTCAAGGGCATGTACCTTGGTTGCGGGCACATCCCCGGTGGGGGATGTGCGGAAGGCAGCTGGTCGATGTTTCTCTCATCGATATTTCTAGCTCTCTCTCTCCCTTCCTCTCTGTAAAAAATCAATAAAATATATATTAAAAATAAAAAAAATAAAGTGTTGGAATAAAACTGGAAAATGTTGGACATCACACCAACTCTCCTTGGTTTGATCCCGCTAGCTGTTCTTTGGCAATACACATTTCCTTTAAGTAGGAATACCATTTCAGAGATACATGTAAGTCATTCACTGTGTTGTTTTCCAAATATCTTATGTACCCCATTCTCTAGTTTTAAAGGGACTCAAAATTTGTAGGCTTTTTACCAAATCACAAAAAGAACAGGCCTACGCGTTTGTTAGACTTTGTAAGGTTAGGTTTACGATATACAATTATATGTAATATATCCACCAGTTTGTGCACTCTAATACTTGAACTAGACGGATGTATTATGGGCAGTATTATCACTACTCTATTCCACAAAGAATACACTGGAATATTTTCTCTGAGTTCTATTTCAGCTCTTGTATTAAAAATATCTTCCCACTTATATTCAAAATAAACAGCATCCTGTTTTACTTCCTGTTTTATATTGTCCTCTACTCGGAATGTAGATGTGCTTGGAAAAGTCAGAGTATATCAAAGTTACTACAAGAATTTTGAAAATTATAATTAATGTCTCAGAAGAAACCTACTCAGTTTGCAGATTCTTTTCTTTTTTTTTTTTTAATATATTTTATTGATTTTGTACAGAGTGGAAGTGAGAGAGATAGAGTTAGAAACATCGATGAGAGAGACTCATCGATCAGCTGCCTCTTGCACACCCCCTACCGGGGATATGCCCGCAACTAAGGTACATGCCCTTGACCGGAATCAAACCCGGGTCCCTTCAGTCCCCAAGCCGAGGCTCTTTCCATTGAGCCAAACCGGTCTCGGCAGATTCTTTATCTTTATTCAATGTTAAAAGATAGGAAAAAGGCATCCTATATTAATGCATAAAAACCCTTGGGAAAAAAAATCAGTATTAACCAGGTATAGTTCTATAAGAAAGAGCTAATATTCTAATTTTTCAGTTCAGAACATCTGAGAAAGCATTTTTTCATCAATACAAAAGTTTATTTAACAAAAGTTCAATGTGAAAATGGACAAGACTCTATCTTTATATTGTAGGAAAACAGGTGCTGTGGAGAGGGGATATGTGGAAGCAATTGATTTCTCTGGTAACTACAGCCATTCTTCATACTCGTTCCAAGGCTTCTAACATGATGATACTATTTCCTCGGATTACCTAAGAGAAAAGTAAATTTGAAAAGACCACAAGTCATTTAACAGACATACCATGATTAAAGAATTTTCACCAAATCATTAATGGTTCTGCAGTATTAAATGTCAAGTTGAGGCTTTTTTTCAAGCCACAGGAATACAAAATAAAGTCTTTTAATCACTGGTGAAGTCACATAAGCACTTTTTAATGAGATGTACATTATCTAGACCAAAGGCTAACAAACTACCCCTTTGAGAAGTCTGCAATGACTCATTTCACCTCCTGATGGACTTGCTTTTCAAAATGCAGTAATGAAAAATAACATACCCATTACTGCCCTAAGGGATCCATAAATTAATAGGAAAATAAGTGCAATAGAACATGCATGTTGCCGAAGCTGCTTTGGCTCAGTGGATAGAGTGTCGGCCTGCGGACTGGAGGGTCCCGGGTTCAGTTACGGTCAAGGGCATGTACCTTGGTTGTGGGAACATCCCCAGTAGGGAGTGTGCAGGAGGCAGCTGATCAATGATTTTCTCATTGATGTTTCTTTCTTTCGTTCTTTCTTTTTTTAAAAATATATTTTATTGATTTTGTACAGAGAGGAAGGGAGGGAGAGAGTTAGAAACATCGATGAGAGAGTCATTGATCAGCTGCCTCTTGCACCCCCCCCACTGGGGACATGCCCGCAACCAAGGTACATGCCCTTGACTGGAATCGAACCCGGGACCCTTCAGTCCCCAAGCCAAGGCTCTATCCATTGAGCCAAACCGGTCTTGGCTCTCATTGATGTTTCTAATTCTCTATCCCTCTCTCTTCCTCTCTGTAAAAAAAATCAATAAAATATATTAAAACAAAAACAACAAAAAAACAACAACATGCACATTAGTTTTGGGTGAAGAGCAATTAGGAAACAAACCAGAATGAAAGTTGTGGAAAGCAGGCTCTATGAAATGGCATTTTAACTTGAGTTTTGAAAACTGGGTACATTTTTTATAAGAAAACAGGAATTTCTC